AGCTGTGCTTGGAGACGCCCACTTTGCTGGCATGCATGGTGAGCAGGAGCCGGGGTTGGTGCAGCCCAGCTCCTCAGGCAGCATATCCACAGTTGTGATGGACATTGGGCAGATGTTCTTGAGCTTCCTTTCTTATTCCTATGTGTCTTCCAGGCTGCACAGCCTTTGGGTGGATGACACTGCAGGGCAGGAAGAGCAGGGGCACGGATCTACACAGCAAGACAGCCACCACTGTGGGCATTAGCCGAGAGCACGCCAAAGTCTTCAACTATGGCCGCATTTATGGTGCCGGGCAGCCTTTTGCTGAGCGCTTACTAATGCAGTTCAACCACCGGCTCACACGGCAGGAGGCGGCTGAGAAGGCCCAGCAGATGTACGCTGTCACCAAGGGCCTCCGCCGGTGAGGGTCCCTCTCCTGTCCACTTTAACACTCAGAACCCAAGGCCTGCTTTACTGCTTTTTAGTACTCCATCTGTTGTGTCTCCTGCCCATTGCTTGAACCCCCACCTAGCCCCTCCTCTCCTTCCACACCTGTGTGACCTAGCTCCAGGATGATTTGTCCTGTTGTGACATGTGCTTGCTTTATAGACAGCCTTAAACAGATTTCCCTCATGGGGGTAAGCCATACTTTTGGTATACTGTCACCAGGTGGTAGCATCTTGACGATTCTGATTATGCTGCATAAATAATAATGTAGGGGTTGCAAACTCAGATGCCTCCAGGGAAGGAAAGCAAATGGAGTGGGCGGAAGACAGGAGTTGACAGGAGGGTGCTGTGGCAAATGAGCTTGTTCATACAGGAGAAAGCATTACCAGGCCTCCAGGTTACTTAGCCTAGTTCGCAAATTGTTTCCTCTGATAGTACTGCATACTGTGTATTCAGGGCCTTAGCAGGCTTTCTGGAGGCTTCCAAAAGCGTGAGGGAGGAGAGCTGCAACTTCCTTACATATAATACAGTGTCCATATTGAATTAGCTGGGTCATTGTGGAAACTCACTTTCTCGTGAACAACTAAAGTTAAGTATGTGATAAATGATGTAGCAGTTGGTGACTCTAAATGCAGGAAAGGGCAGCTGAGCGTCCTCCAGAGTTGATAAAGTGATGCTGGGTAAGGCTCATACCGTGAGCATGACTGTAAATGCAGGAAAGGGGAGCCGAGTATCATCCAGAGTAGATGAAGTGAGGTCGGGTAGGGCTCGTATTGTGGGCAGCACGTGCTGGTGGAGGCAAGCAAGGTGATGGGGCTTTAGTTGTAGACACCTTTGAAAGTGTCACAGGAGTTTGACTGTGGGTGCAGGTGGTAGAAGCCCTGCAACTCCTTTGTGCGAGTGAGTGACGTGTCTCTGGAGCCTTCAAGCAACAAGCCTTGTGATGTCTGCAGGTTAGATGGAAGCTGGGAGTCTAGGGTCATGGCAGTTGAGAAGGGTAAGTTGGGCCTGGCTATTGTTTTCTGCTTCTACGAATGCCCCCTCCCCTTCAGGGAGTAGCCTGTTCTTGCCCCATCTCCCCAAATCTGGAGTGATGCCCCTTGCTGCCTTCTGAATAAAAGGCTGGTGTTGGGCTTTGGGCAATGCAGTGTCTAAGGAAACAGGACCATAGGAATAGTGGCCTCGTGTGCTGGAATCTTTGTCCTTTATTGGGCTCCTGTCTGGGTTGCATGTCCTCCTAGCTCCGTGACCCTAAGCAATGCACTTAGCCTCTCTGAGCCTGTTTCTTGCTCTGAAGATAAGCCTTAAGGAGACTGGCTTGATGCCAGTGTTTTTGAAAATCGAGTGATATGTGAACCCTCTTCATCAAGGCAGTAGTGTGGCACAGAATCATGGTGTTAATACTTCCCCCAGGTATCGGCTGTCAGAGGAGGGTGAGTGGCTAGTGAGGGAGCTACACCTCCCAGTGGACAGGATTGAGGGTGGCTGGATTTCGCTGCAGGACCTGCGCAAGGTCCAGAGAGAAGCTTCAAGGAAGTAAGAACCTTCTTTGTGTTAAGGATGGAGGGAGAGGAGAGGTCTGGGTTTGCCTCAGAAGAGCTTTTTCAGCTTTGAGATGCTAAAAGACAAACTCTTCCCTCTCTGTTTCTGGTCCTTTAGGTCACGCTGGAAGAAGTGGGAGGTGGTTGCTGAACGGGCTTGGATGGGGGGCACAGAGTCAGAGATGTTCAATAAGCTTGAGAGCATCGCTACGTCTGACATACCATGCACCCCGGTTCTGGGCTGCCGTATCAGCCGAGCCCTGGAGCCCTCGGTTGTCCAGGGAGAGGTATCTTGCTACCTTCCGAGCATGGGTGGGTGGGTGGACCAGGGAGAGCAGGTCCCTGTGGACCTTACCAGGGTTTGTCAGTAGGGCCAGAGTGAAGCTTCTCTTGGGGCTTCTACCCTAGAGTCTGAGGGTCGGGTAAGGCTCCCGGGGTATGAGCCTTACCCGACCTTCTGACTCTAGGGTAGTTGGTATGTAGCAGAGTCCCTCTCACCTCTGACCCCCTTCTCTCTGCAGTTTATGACCAGCCGTGTGAATTGGGTGGTGCAGAGCTCTGCTGTTGACTACTTACACCTCATGCTTGTGGCCATGAAGTGGCTGTTTGAGGAGTTTGCCATAGATGGGCGCTTCTGCATCAGCATCCATGACGAGGTTCGCTACCTGGTGCGGGAGGAGGACCGCTACCGTGCTGCCCTGGCCCTGCAGATCACCAACCTGTTAACCAGGTAAGCGGGGCCTGTGGCCTCTCTGGCCTGGCCATGTGTTCTGGGTGAGAGCTCCTTGGGCCAGACTGGGTAGTTTTGAGTTTTCATCCCCCTAGAAGTGAATGTTTCGGCTTTTTCTAATTTTTAAAAGTTTAGAGAAGTCCTAAAAAAAAAAAAAGAGTTGTCTCAATTTTTTTAAAAAGATTTCTTGGGTTTGAAAATGTCAAATACCAAGACTGATCACTGAGGAAGAGTGAGGTTAGGGGAGTTGTTCCAATGGGTGGTACTCACACTTTTCTGTTTTGAAAATGAAATGACAGAAGCCTTCTCTCATTTCACAGGGAATTGAGATGTTTTTCTTTAACCCATAAATGTTTTCTTAAGTGCCAAAAGTTTGTTATTTGACTGCTAACAGAAAACATTATTCATGGGGACACTCAAATGTGATTTTTTAAAATATCTTTTATATATTGAGTTGTATTTTCTTATAGTATAATTCCTAGTTCATATGGATGAATTAAATGATATTACCGTTCCATGTTGATCTACCACTCAGAACCAGTTTGGGAACCATGATCTATCCTGATTAATGGGTAAATAACAGATGTTTATGATATTCAACATTGTTCCCACTGCCCTCTTTATCATCTCTGGGGGGTTATGCTTAACAAATCTAAAAGTCCTCATTTATGCCTCAAACTGTGGCCCAATAATTGGAAGTGATTTCTTATATGAAACTGGGGGAAAAAGTGTGTGTGGATTCCATAATTGCATTTTAGTATCTCAGTGGGAGGTTAGGCTGCTGGATGGAAGACAGTGCTGGCCCTTCACTTTCTTGACTTAGCTAAGTGAACAGATGGGGTATGGGGTCCGTGCTCCAGAAGTGATGATCTGTTCACAGGAGGGATGGGACTGTGAGAGGAGATTGGGTCTCTTTCAGGTGCATGTTTGCCTACAAGCTGGGTCTGAATGACTTGCCCCAGTCAGTCGCCTTTTTCAGTGCAGTCGATATTGACCGGTGCCTCAGGAAGGAAGTGACCATGGATTGTAAAACCCCTTCCAACCCAACTGGGATGGAAAGGAGATACGGGATTCCCCAGGGTGAGCACAACACACTTGTTCCTTATTACACATAGGATCTGAGGTGGACTAGAAAGTGGGTCTTAGAGATCAGGAAACTTGGGGGTCCCAGGGAATCACTCTTGACTCATGCTATATTCTAGGCTAATTGCAGTTTCTAAGGTGCCCTGTGTCCAGAGTGAGTGTGACATGATGTTTCAAAAATGCAGACAGCAGAATTTCAAATATTCCACCTGTACCTGTCCCCCACTTCAGCCACACCAGAAATATAGAGTGTATTCTTAGGTGACAGAAAACAAACTCTCCTTTAACTACCAAACAAGTAAATCAGAAAGCTTTTTTTCTATTTAAAATGTATCTCAGACAGACTTTATTTTATATACCAAGAAAACAGACCCTCTTAACATGTAACATTACCATTCGTTGCATTGCTCTCAACCTTTGTTTCTCCTTTCTGACCTCTCAGTTACAGTTCTAGAGGTGGCATCCTAACAAATTTGCACTGTCTTTCAGGTGAAGCGCTGGATATTTACCAGATAATTGAACTCACCAAAGGCTCCTTGGAGAAACGAAGCCAGCCTGGACCATAGCTCTGCCTGGAGGCTGTATTTGCTCCCGTGGAGCTTCATCGGGCAGCTCAGGCTCCCAAACTCAGGCTTTCAGCTGTGCTTTTCACAGAAGGGCTTGCCTAAGGCCAGCCATTTTTCAGTAGTAGGACCTGCCAAGAAGATTCCTTCTAACGGAAGGTGCAGTTGAATTCAGTGGGTTCAAAACCAAGATGCCAACATCAGTGTGGGCTATAGGACAAGGGGCATTGTTGCTTGTTGGGAAAAACAAAGCAAATGCCCCAAAGTTCACATTAACTCAGGCATTCAATTATTTTTTCCTTCTCTTCTTGGCTGGTTCTTTGTTCTGTTCCCCATGCTCTGATGCAGTGCCCTAGAAGGGGAAAAAAGTAATGCTCTAATGTGATCAACCTGCTCCAAGGCAGTGGAAATAAAAAGAAAAGAAGAAAAAAAAAAAACCTCTTTATCTTCTCATCAAAGCCTGCGTTAGTAGTGCTTTCCCCCCTTCAGAATTACCTCTTCAACAGAGGTAATTCTGTTGAAGAGGAGGGGGAGTCCTCCAAAGTGTAGAGTAAGGCAGTACCAACTCCTCCTCTTAGGACTTTTGCTATACTGAGGAGACTCCTGGGACGGAATGACAGAAGAAGCCATTGGCATCAAAATGGCCACTTGCCTCTCCTGAGTGCTGCTGCCAAGTGGGTAAAGGAGTGGATGGGAGCCTGGAGTGTAATCATCTGAAGGAGGCATGTTCCAAATCCTTGAGAAGCCAGAAATCCAGGGCATTTGTATGTAAACTTCCAATTCAGAAATGGGAGTGGGTCACTGATATGCGACTTATTAGACAAGACTCAGATGAAAACCGTAGGTGCTGGAAGTAAGGAAAGCTTAGGTTTTGTTTCGAAGATGTTGCAGGGATGGGGTGTGGTACTGGAGGAGTAAAGGGAGAGGAACAAACTGCAGGGGAAAAGGTTAAACAACTGGCATGAACTGAAGGAAGGAGCCTTAACCCAGACTAATGAGTGGCCTTTGAATGAAGGCATGACATGAGAAGTAAACTAGTTTCTGGGTCAGGCTGCTAAACCTGCTCATCATCCAGTAGTTTAAAAGATAACAGAAAAGGACCCACAGCAGGATACTGTTACCACCCAGTTCCAGAAGCGTTTACCAAAAATGTATACAAGTCAGGGCAACTTCATAGGATTTGGTGTGGTCCAAAGTCTACAACCCTCAGAGTCCCTGGCTCTCATCTTTGCCTGATTACCTTTTAGCCCGTTCCTCCCAGTCTGTTGCCCTTCCAGTCTGTGACTGCTCCTAGACAGGCTGCTAACCAGCTAGAAGAGTGGCTGGGATTTGCTGGGCTCCAGATAGAAGCCAGCACTGACCTCTTCGTTTTTGTCTTCGCCTTCCTCTCGAAGAACCATGTCTAGGATGTTTCCTTTGATCTTGAAGTCTCGTGAGGTGCTGAGCTTCATGTGCTGCATCAGGTTCACCTGTGACGGGATTGTGAGCATGAGAGCATCTCCCTACTCATAGGTCCTGCCAGGACAGCTAAAGCCATTTTCAGTGTACCTGACCAACCTTTCAGTTTCTGCCTAAAGCAAGCACACACCCACTTCCTTCTGTATGCTGGGGTTCAGGCCATCAGATCAGGAATAGCAAAGAGGCTGAGTGTGGTGGTTCATGCCTATAATCCCAGCAATTTGGGAGGCAGAGGCGGGAAGATCACTTTAGGCCATGAGACCAGCCTGCCAACATAGTGAGACCCTTTCTCTACAAAAAATACATATATACAGTAAAGTAGTGGGGTGTGATGGCATATGACTGTAATACCAACTATTATGGAGGCTGAGGCAGAAGGCTTGAACCTGCACTCCAGCCTGGGGGACAGAATTAGACACGGTCTCCAAAAAAAAGGGGGAGTTGGCAAACACACAAATGGACCAGAGTCTTTTTACCTGCACTGTAGTTGTGCTGCTTTAGTTTACCAGATCCCCTGTCAAAGTAAATGGAAATGGTGGCACATAATAGAAAATGTTTACCTTGGACTTCTTAGAAAGGTGGATGAGAAATTTTTCATACTGTTCAATGGCGAAGATGAGGTTAGGGATTGGCTTGGTTTCCCGAAGAACTCTGGCCTAAGGGCAAAGAACGTGAAGACTTAAATTTCACGTTGAACCGATTTTTGAAGTTTTCCTCTGAAGCTGTCACTTCCAAAACTGTATGGCTTTGGGGGAAACTAGTGTCTTCCCCCCCAATCAAATGCAGTTTTACTTATATACCAGTAATTTAAAACTTTTGGCAGTTCAATCTCAAAGGACCCAAATGCCAGTAGAGATAATTGCAGTGATCCTTTCCATTTATAATCCCGTTGTTTGTTGTTATCTAGAGACTGGCTGAGGAGGGCAGGATCATTTGCAGAAACTTAGTTGCTTTTCTGACTTGATATTCTTATGCTTATTCTCACCCTAGTTATATTTCCTTGTTCTGGTCTGCATATGAATTTTCACTGCTGGGATTATATATCTTTTCCCCTAATTTGAGTTGTAATTTGTAGTTCCTTCTACATTTTTTATTTTTTTAACATTATCTTGGAGATAATTCCAGATAGCTGAACATTTAGATGTTTATTTTTTGTGTCTATATAACACTCTCCAGTATAAATATACTATAACCTATTTATCCAGTTCTCAATTAATGGATATCTTTGTATCTAATATTTCAATTTCATAAGCAATGTTGTGAGGACCATCCTTACACAGGCCTGTACATCCTAAAAGTGAAATTGTTACATCAGAATGTTTATCTCCTGGGATTCACAGTTGTTGCTCAGCCCCCAGAGAGACTGTGCTCATTTTCGACTTGGCCAGCAATGTGCTAAGGTCCTACTTTCCTGCACCCTGGCTGACTCTTACAGATCTTTGAGAGCACATTCTGCATTCACCAACTTGACCTACAAATAATTTCTCCCAATGGAGTATCATAAGTTATTTTACTTTAACCTAAAATAATATAATTTCCCCCAATGGAGTATCTTAAGTTATTTTACTATTTTTATTTCAACCCCAGATTTTCTGATGCCTCCTGAATGAAACATGTTTTTGGTTCAGAGGAAAAAGAAGATGTTCCATCTGATCATAAAATTCCTGAGTTGAGAAGGAGCCATGTATATCACACACACATACATTGGTAACAGCTCTATACAGCTATAATTCATATACCACACAATTCACTCACAATGTACATTTTTTTTCAGTATTTTCAGAGTTGTGCAACCATCACTACAATCAATTTCAAAACATTTTCATCACCCCCAAAAGAAATTCCATACCCTTTTTAGCTGTTACCCACATCTCCCAACCCACCTAGCTCTATGCTACCACAATAGTTGGCCTTTTTAGATTTAATTAATTGGGACACTTCATGAAAACAGAATCACACAATGTGGTCTTTTTGTCACTAGCTTCTTTCACTTAATGTTTTCAAGGTTCAGCAACAACCATCTTTTAATGGTCAGTGTCAGCAGCTTACCATGGCTGTGGCAACGGCAGCAGTTTTCTCCTTTTTCTCTCCCGTATAGTTCAGGCTTTTACTCTTCTTATTCTAAAGAAACAAACATTGTCTTGATGATTTTTCTGTAGAGCTAGCATGCTTGTGAGTAATTTTTTTTTTTGGAGACAGTCTTGCTCTGTCATCCAGGCTGGAGTGCAGTGGCGCAATGTCAGCTCACTGCAACCCCCACCTCTTGAGTTAAGCGATTGTTGTGCTTCAGCCTCCCAAGTAGCTGGGACTACAGGCACATGCCACCACACCCAGTTAGTTTTTGTATTTTTATTAGAGATGGGTTTTTGCCATGTTGGCTAGGCCGGTCTCAAACTCCTGGCCTCAGGTGATCTGCCCACCTCAGCCTCCCAAAGTGCTGGTATTACAGGCATGAGCCACCGTGCCCAGCTGTTAGTGGTAATTTTCTAGGAAGGTAGTTACACAGGGTTTGAGGACAAAGTCTGGGGGGTAAACAGGATTATCTGTGCAACAGGTGTTAGAAGATACGGAAAAAATGTGATGCTTTATAATCCTCAGATAGTTTTCAATTGCTGGGAGGTTTACAATCTGCTGTTCTTAGAGCTGGCACATGGAAGTTGAAGGCGGGACGGTTACTGCACTGGGTCAGCCAAGGGGCTGGTGAGGTACTAAAGAATGGTTAACATGGGGACTGTAAAGGTGGTAGCAGGAATAGGCAGTTCTATTTCTATTTTAGCCAGTAAGCTAAATGGATTCCATAAGGGAGAGGAAGTTGAGGCGGCTGCTGCAGGGCCTTGCAGTCTTCCCACTTACAGGCAATCACCAGATACATTCTATTTTCCTCAGTCAGCAAAGCCAAAACCAGATACATTTGATGTGCTATGGGTTATCATGCTCAAGAAAGGCTTAAAGGGTCACAGCAACACTTCCCCATTTGTACGTTATTGGGTAATATAAAGAAAGGAACCAAGAGACATAGGATTCTGATAAGGCAAAAGAAACTCAAGACTGGAGTAAAGAGAGACTGGGGAGAAAAACCACCCAACTGTAGGGTACAGAAATGTAGGAAGCTTTTACCTCAAAGGGAGTGCTAAACCTCAGGGAAGGAACATCCCATGTTCCACGAAGACAACAGAATAAAGAAACGGACCTGAAAATACTGAGAAGCTATGCCAGCGGAGCCATGAGAGAAACAGGAGGCTGTTCCACATGCCATGTTCTGGACAATAAGGAACCGGACACATTCCAGAGTGGCTGGAATAGAGAAATCTGTTTTGGGCCCTGGAAGGCAGGGCAGAGGATGGTAGAGGGTGAAGCCCTATTAAGTGGGAGGCAAGGAGGCAGTCACAGGTTGACCTCACTGACCAAGTGGGAAGTAAACCATCTTCCCGGAGGTTGCATCAAGGATGGGACCCTGTTACCTGCCCACTCCAACAGACCCAGGCAGGACAAAATTAGAGTTGGAAGAGAAGCATCTTTTAAAGGTATACAGTTCTGGGCAGGATGCTAAGAGCTGGAGCAATGGTTTTCGTTGCTTTCTTCCCACTGAGATCTAAGGAAGTGAGGAAATGGAGAGGGGGCTGCAAGAGAAGAAAAGCTCAATGAGATGTGGAAAATGCAATTGCCATTTTTAGATAAGAGCTGGAATTAAGGGAACCATGCATGGGCTCTTGCCCAGAGGCACTCATTAAGTGCAGCTCACAAAAACAGAAAAATGTAATATGTTTGCCTGTGCAGATCAGCTGACTTGTCAGTAAGGCTTGACATGCAGTATGGATGGAGGAGGAGGAAAATGCCCAGGGAAGAAATGAAACTGATTACTGTGTAATGGGGGGAAAAGAATAGCAGTCTAGGAGGTAGCAGTGATTCCCAGAAGAAAATGCTTGAGAATGGGGTCAGAAACACAAAAACCCCAAACCCTCCAACATTTTACATGTCAACAGGTATCAGGTCCGACTCTAGAGCAATGGTTGGCTGACTACAGCCCACAGTATAAAATGCCACTGCCTGTTTTTGACAATAAAATTTCATTGGAACATAGCCATGCTCATTTATTTGTACATTGTCTATGGCTGGTTTTATATTGTGATAGTAGAGCTGAGTAGGTGTGACAGAGACTGTATGACCCATATTTACTGTCTGGCCCTTTACAGAAAAAGTGCCAATTCCTGCGATCGAGTCAAACTAGTTGGGTTCAAGTCTCAGATCTGCCTCTTCCTCACGGTGTGTTCTTGGGCATTCTGATTACCCTTCCTCAGCGTGCGTATAGGAATAAATACTAATCACAACCTGTAGCTAGGGTGAGTGAGATGATGTATGAAAAGAGCTTAGCACACCAGGTAGAGGTTCTCTAAGCATTATCGGTTCTAATAAAATGATTAGATAATGTGACTCTTGAATCATAACAAGGGTAGTAAATAGGATCTAACAGCAGTATTTCCCAGCAGTATTTCTCTACTCTGGAACATTATTCTGCCAAATAGAAACATTGGTTATTTTTTAAAAATGTTCTTGAATAGGTCTGAAAACTACTCATGAACATATTGTTGAAACTCTCAGCACTGCTTTTATTTTTCTTGAGACAGGATCTCACTCTTGTTACCCTGGAGTATAGTGGCATGATCATGGTTTACCACAGCCTCCAAGTCCAGGGCTCAAGTGATCTTCCTGCCTCAGCCTCCCAAGAAGCTGGGACTATAGGCACATGCCTGGCTAAATTTTAAAGGTTTTGTGGAGATGGAGGGGGGTCTATGTTGCTCAGTCTGGTCTTGAACTCCTGGCCTCAAGTGATCTTACCTCCGCCACCATGGCTGGTCTCAGCACCTTTAATATGCAGATGGACGCCATGAATCTCTAAGATGAGAAATATGGTATGAGCATTTCTCACTGAATTCCTTTTTCTGAGGAGTGTCTCAGTCTACACAGGATACTCTGTGGAATGTGCCTTTATAGATACATTAAGAGTTGGAGATGAGGAAACTCAAAACCCCAATATGGGAATGAAGAGATATATATCCTATATATAGACAACAGATTTGTTTGATGATTGGCACCTACATGAAAATTTACAAGCATGAGGGTTGAGAAAGCATTCCTGCAAGCATCTGGGTGAGAGAAAAGGCCCAGAAGTAAAAGCTTTATGACAGCTGGCTACTGGCTGGATACAGAAAATGGATGATGTATTCCTGACACAGATCACAAAACTGATACAAAGGCAAGGTGACAGACAGCCTCAACTATCAGCCCATTACTAAGAACTCCTTCAGCTAAATCCAGATGACAGCCTACCTGATCACAGATTTTTTTTTTTTGAGATGGAGTTTGGCTCTTGTTGCCCAGGCTGGAGTGCAATGGTGCAATCTTGCCTCACTGCAACCTCTACCCTCTGGGTTCAAGTGATTCTCCTGCCTTGGCCTCCTGAGTAGCTGGGATTACAGGCACCTGCCACCATGCCCTGCTAATTTTTTGTATTTTTAGTAGAGATGGAGTTTCACCATGTTGGCCAGGCTGGTCTTCAACTCCAAACCTCAGGTGATCCACCTGCTTGGGCCTCCCAAAATGCTGAGATTACAGGCATGAGCCACTGTGTCCAGCTGATCACCGATTCTTAAAGGGAGGGGAAGAGACACCCTGAATACACATAATGAGGCAAGTTACCAATAGAATGATACTGTGCCTGTAAGTGATGCAGAGGCAGAAAACAAGTGAAGCATCACTATCAAAGTGGTCACAATCCGTGGCTTTAATAATTGGTTCTAGAATCTTGGCTGAGATTGACACTTAATGGGCGCATTTTCTCTGATTCTTCAAAGATCAGTCACAGCCCTGTGATACATTTACTGCATGACTAAGTGGCCTGAGGCCATAGCACATCTCTCGTTTCTTATTCTTTCCAACCAGGGGTGATTTTGTCCCTTAAGGATGACTGGAAGTTTCTGGAGACATTTTTGGCTGTTAAAACTAGGGCACTGCTATTGGCGTCTGATAGGTGGAGGCCAGGGATGCTGCTCCACACCCCAAAATGCACAGAACAGGCTCCACAACATAGAATTACCCGGCCCAACATGCCAATAGTGGTGAGGTTAAAAAACTCTGTTTTAAGCAAACAATAAAAGAGACTCAAGTACCGCAGGAATCTGATGGTATTCGGAGCCAGACGACACTTAGAAAGCCCCGGAGGCACCCTCACACTGACTGCTGTCTCATTACAGCCCTCTCCATGAGCTTGCTGCTGTTCTGCTCACACTCCCAGAGGACATCTCATGGCACGGACTTTCAGTCACCCAGAAATAAACCAAGCTCTTGGGCCCCAGCATGCTTGTTCCTCCCTTGCTCCGAATGCAAACACATATGCTTCCTTTCTCCAAATTAAACGAAACTGGTTTCTTTACATGAATAAAGATCTCCTTGATGCAAAGCCCTTAAGCCTTGGCTCAGTCTCTGATGGGTGCCTCTGGCTTGTGGCAAGCAAGGACAAAAGTTTATATATGCTCAGTTCAGGTGATCAATAGTCCCCTGGGCATAAGAAATCCTTTCTTGAAGATCTGTTGGGTACTGCCTCTCAATCACTTACCTGTACGTAAGAAATGAAAGAATAACACAGGGGGGTCAGATGAGAACCAGACAGCTTCACCTGCAGCAAGGGAGAAGGAAACCAATATAACCAACAATGAAAGCACTTCCCCCGTTCCTAGGAAAGGCATTCTCAACTCACCAGCTTTTCCGTATTTTTTGGAATTCCTCCAGAGCTCCGACACACCTGGAGATACTAATAAAAAAAGATTCCTGAGTTTAGCAGACTACCCTATGAAAGTCCAAGAGCTGCTGCAGTGAGCTGATGGAGTGTGACGCACCGTCCTCACAGGAGACGGCAAAGGCAAATTCAGAGAAGCCGAGACAAGGCTTCCTTCTTCCCCTCCTCCAAAGCTCCCAAGCATCCCAGACAATAGGTAATGAAGGGTTTGTTTCTAACTTTCTCATTTCTTTAAAATCTCAAGCTGGTAAGTCCTTGCAGGTCAAAACCCAACAACTTGGCTGTTTTTCCTTTTAAAGATGCCAATAAAGAGAAGAGGCTCTCGGTATTTCCACCACAGCAGGTGAGACACCTGTAGCTAGAGCTGCACATTCTGAGAGCCACACTGCTGTGAGAAGCGATGGTTCACATCTTTCTTGGGTTATCTGTGCCTAAGTATTTAATATGGATCATTGCTATAAACAAACATTAAGAGCAGGGTATGCCTTGTCTTTTTATAAAAAAAGTATTTTCTTCCCCACCTTAGTACTTGATCTATAAGATATTTAACACCTATATGCTAAAGGAATGAAAAAAAGGAATAAACATCTCTTAAGTGTCCAGACTGGTTAGAATTTCTATGCAATATGGACTCAGATTTAATTCTAGATAGTTATAATTTAGATTAAACCTCAGAAGGCATTTGAAAGAAGCATTCATTCTCAATCAGGTGCCACATACATGCCAAGGAATTAAGGGACTCCAAAAGCAGATTTATTTTTTGTGAGACAGAGTCTTCTGTGTTGCCCAGGCGGGACTGCAGTGGCAAGATCTCAGCTTACTTAACCTCTGCCTCCTGGGTTAAAGCAATTCTCCTGCCTCAGCCTCCTGAGTAACTGGGATTACACGCACCCGCCACCACACCCATTTTTAGTAGAGAAGGGGTTTCACCATGTTAGCCAGGCTGGTTTGAACTCCTGACCTCAAGTGAGCTGCCCACCTCGGCCTCCCAAAGTGCTGGAATAACAGGTGTGAGCCACCGCACCTAGCCCAAAAGCAGATTTAGAATTATGAACTGTTTTTCCCTGGCCTGTGGAGATGCCTGCCACCTTTGACCAAAATAAAAATGAAACCATGACCTGCTGCCCCAGCCTGATCTCCTGGCTCCCCGTGGTAGAATGGTGAGGGCAAATCTGCTTCTCAAATACTCACATATCTGACAAGTGCGGTAAGTGTGGTGTACATTTTGCACAAGTCCTTTAACAAGGTGTCCACACAGCTGCCTGATGGCAGAGCTGTCTGCACCAGCTCGTGGAAAAATGTAAGCAGAGTTCCCAGCTGCATGATGATGGCCTTCTCCACAGGATGACTTGATAGGACTGCCTGAGAAGAGGCCTCTTCTGAAGGGAAATAAAATTGGCACATTCAAACCCAACTTCATTTCCAGTTAAGAGTAAAGGAGATTGAGAAATTGATTACCACCAACTAGAACACCTTTAAGGAAAAATGAACATTCAATATGCAGAGTGAATCAACAATCGTGCTGTGATGAGCCATACGATCTCCTACTTCTTTCATCACATACGAAAAAGTCTCACTTGCTCAGGGACTCCACGTTTATGCACAGCCCAATTTGATTTTTGGTTGACCTTGCTCAAGTCAATTCCTGGAATCCCAGTTGAACTTATCTTACCTGATAAGGGTTCTTGGCTCACTTGTCCCTTAAGTTTGGTGATTAGCCAGTCCACTTCTTCTAGGACCTTCTCTGCCTGACTCAGAACAAGTAACTGAAAGACAAGAGTGTCTGCTGTGATCCACTACACAGCTGTGAGGTAATATAATAACCGTGGCCACTTGGCCACCTACAGGTGGATAACAGGCCTCAGGACACAAGCCACTTCATATGGAGCAGAACGGAAGGAATGACAGAGCTGCTCCCCGTGGCTCAGGTGCAGCACTTACACAGACAGTAGGGGCAGCCATTCTCAAATTCACTATGGCAAAGTGGTTTGTTTTCTCCACCTCTATGTCCTAGGGAAGAAAATAGAGGTGAGATGTAATGACAGTAAGGTTGTTCCCTTGACCTCCATCCCCACACAGGGTATGGTACTGAAGGCTCAGTCTAGTACCTGGTCTATATCTCCCAGGTGTCCATGGATATCCTGGGACAAGTCACGCAGCAGAGTGACAGGGCTCTTATACAAAACATGCAGGCTGAAGAGCAAGTTCATCAAGCTCTTGCAAAACAAGGCATCCTCTAGGAACAGGAAGAAAAGAAAATGAAAAGGTAAGTTATAACCCAGTCAGGTCCCTGAGGCACATGTACCGGGGGTGGGGGTGGGGTGCCTAACCAAAACAGGTAGCTTGTCACATCCCAGGCACAACATCCTAGTGTTACGCACACTACAGCCAAGCAGCTAGTCTGCAATGATGCCTCTTTATCCGCGTGCCCAAAGAGGCAGACATCTCCCATCGTCAGTCATGATCGCCGTGTGACTAGCATCCAGATCAAGTACATTACGAGTATTCTAGGGACTCCCTCCTAACTTGTCCCACCAAGGAAACTGCAGTCCTGACTTCTGTCCAGTTCTGAACCTCACCTAATGGAATTCTACAGTAAGTACCCCTTCTTGCGCCTGGCTTCTTTTGTTTTACAGTATGTTTGTGAGAGCCTCTCCAAACTGTGTGTCTGTGTAGTTTGCCCCTGCACATTTGCTGTATAGGATTCCACTATGTGAATATATCATAAGTCTTTTATCCTTTCTAATGCTGATGAACACTTGGGTTTGTTTTTAACCTGTTAAAATAGTGCTGCTGCCTGGGAACGGTGGCTCACGCCTATAATCCCAGCACTTTGGGAGGCCGAGGCGGGTGGATCACGAGGTCAAGAGATCGAGACCATCCTGGTCAACATGGTGAAACCCCGTCTCTATTAAAAATACAAAAAATTAGCTGGGCATGGTGGCACGTGCCTGTAGTCCCAGCTACTCAGGAGGCTGAGGCAGGAGAATTGCCTGAACCCAGGAGGCGGAGGTTGTGGTGAGCTGAGATCGCGCCATTGCACTCCAGCCTGGTTAACGAGCGAAACTCTGTCTCAATTAAAAAAAAAAAAAAAAAAAATACAAAAACTAGCCGGGCATGGTGGCACGCACCTGTGGTCCCAGGTACTCGGGAGGCTGAGGTGGAAGAATCACTTGAACCCAGGAGGCAGAGGCTGCAGTGAGCCAAGATTGCGCCACTGCACTCCAGCCTGGCGACAGAGCAAGATTCCATCTCAAAAAAATAAAAAATAAAATAGCACTGCTAAGAGAATTCTTCCATGGTTTTCTGTTGTGATTGGATGGCTGGGTCATAGGCATATGTTTAATTTTAGTTGTCAGATAACAGTTTTCCAGAGTGGTTATACTAATTCATGCCTCCACCCCCAGTGAATGACAGAGCCAACTACTCTACATGCTTGCCAACACTTACAACTAACTGGTATTAGGTGTCTGTTTCCTTTTGGCCACTCTGATGAATGTGTAGTGAATGGGGAATATCTTTTCTTTCCTAAATGCCATTGGAGGATCGTGATTTTATATAAAGCCTTTAGGAAAACATGGCAGAAAACTCACCCCGGCTGTTTTCCTTGCAAATCTTCAATGTCCAGGATAACATCTGCGAAAACTAAATTAGAGATCATTTGGATGTTAAAGAACCAGGCCAGACACAGGCCTGGGTGTTATCAGAAGAGTCCTAGACCTTTCCATGTCTAAGACAATTATTTGCCAAAATGTGTTCTTGGATCTCAAGGGGTAATATGTGATGAAGGGCATAAAAATAAGTAAAAAATTATAAGAATTATGAGAATAACATACAATTTAATTCTCAATGTCTATGTCCTACTGACAGCCAAAAGTGTTGGGGTCCTCATACCTGAACTTCCTTCATGTCTACCATGGTGGTCTAGGGCGAAAGCTCCCTCTTTCCTTCCCATGTCCCCACATGCTCCAGTTGAGGATATCAGGTTATCAGAAAGGTGTGGGCAAGAATCCTGGCTCTAAGAACAGTAGAGTTAGCACTTAGAGGCCAAGAGAACAAAGGTGATCAGAACAGAGAAGGGGCATAAAGAAGAGAAACTAAAAGAGGCAAGAAAGCAGACAGAATATTCTTAGCTAAGTGCAGGAGACTTAAGGTCTTCAGATAGCAGGGGTCTGCATCACCAGACGCAGTCAACGTTCTGCTGCCGCAGTTCTCTGGAATAGGCTTTCAGCTATAAAAGCACTGAAATGCAGTTACACTTAAGCGCAAATCACTATCAAGAATGCAGTTTTGATGTGCTGAGGAAAACGTGAGTTAAGAGGCTAACTGAAAGCTCTACAAACCGATATTAAAATAGCTTCAGAATATTGTGTTCGGTGAAATAAGCAGGACGCAGAACAAGTTTTTGTGTGAAGAGGGGTAGGATCGGGAATAAAAATCTGTATTTACTTGGGAAGGAATAAAGAAACTTGAAGGACACAAAAAACTAAAGGTGTTTACTTATTTGGGGAGAGAAGGAACTGAACGGATGGAGGACATGGATAGGGGAGATCATTCAACAGAAATCTCTTGATAATCTATGGTTTTCAAATCAGAGAACTTTATCACCCATTCAAAATTAAATTTTAAATTACTTATTTTTTCTTTGTTCTTAAATATTTTTATTTTTTAATTTTTTCTGAGACAAGAGTCTTGCTCTGTCACCAGGCTGAAGTGCAGTGGTGCCACCTCAGCTCACTGCAACCTCCACCTCCCAGGTTCAAGCAATTCTCCAGCCTCAGCCTCCCACGTAGCTGGGATTACAGGCATCCGCCACCACACCCAGCCGACTTTTGTATTTTTAGCAGAGGAGGGGTTTCACCATGTTGGCCAGGATAGTCTTGATCTCCTGACCTCGTGATCCACCTGCCTCAGCCTCCCAAAGTGCTGGGGATTACAGGCATGAGCCACCACGCCCTACCTAAATTTTAAAATTTTTAAAAAGACTACCTGACGTTAAGGAAGAAGGGGTGGGTGGTAAAAAGTTTAAAAATCTAAGAGTTTAAAAAAGAACAATTTTTAAATTTTCCTATATATTTTAGCTTTTCCAAATCCATTTATTTTTCCCTCAAATTTCCCCCTGCCCCAATTGCCCATTTCTTTCCCAGTCCTTTCCTCTTTGCAGCAAAAGTAGCAGTATGAAAGGATGAAGCTGAAAGCAGAGTGGGGGTGAGCTGTTTGGAAATGGATGAAATGAGTCACAAAAGGGACTTTGTCTGGGCAAAGCTAGAAGTAGGACAATAGGAAGCAGGTCAGTTTTCTAGTGCCCAAACGCTGTAGCACTCCCAGGCTGCAGTCTTCTGAGGCAAAGGCTCACGTAAAGAGGAGTTCACCCGGGGCCTCACTGTCTTTCTCAAGCCCAGGAAGCAGACGTGGTAGGAGCATACAGGCCTGGGCTCCTGAAGGAAAATTACTACCATCCTACAGGAAAATTACTCCTGGATGGATCAAAACCCCAATACGTGGCTCTTGTCTTACTCTTCTGCGTGTGAACGCTCACATGGGTGCACAACTCCACACCTACGCGTGCACACTTACACACATCTCTGCAAAGACGTTTCTGCTTTGGCACTATAGTTACACTTTCTGAATTAATCCTCTTCTGTTGAATTCCCTCCTAAGTCAGTACTAGGTGACTGCTGAAAAAGGCAACTGCCTTCTCCACCATTAACCAACCTTCTACTTAGAAAAGAAGGGGAAACACCGAGAGCAGCAAAGAACTCAGGTTTCAGAAGGTTGAAGGCACCAAAGATCAACACAGGATTCTTTCTGCGGTGTTTCCGTCTACGCGGAACAGACAAAACCAAACCAGTATGTTCTTGCCCTGTATGGCTGCATATATGCATGTTGTGGTAGACACATTATGTAGGAAAGAATACATCTTATAGGTTTTATATTAACTCAGGTGTATAATTAAATATATTATGTAAAATAAGCTCAGCTTCAAAAGGACAGAGATACACTTTTATGACGCCACAGTCCTTGCCATCTGAGGAAAGCTAAATGAGGTTAAGTGACGGGTACCAGTACCTGAGGAGAGGAGGGGTCCAGGAGCTTGGACAAGCTGGTGAGAACAGTGACTAGCAAGACGGCTTCTTTGCTATTAAAATCTTCCTCCTGGCCGCTGAGCAAATTCAACAAGGACCGCTGAGAAAGGAAGGCACACACAGCAACATTAGCAGACACGTTCCTACCAGGAAGAAGAGGCATCTAGTCAGAGACTCCTTAGATTGGGACAGAAAGAATTCAAAGCTACCAAAATTCTAAGAGGATAAAAATCTGAAAATAAGCCTAGATTGAGCAGCAGTTTCCTAAGCTGTTTTTGACCATAAACCTCTCTGAGAATCTTCCTAAAAACTGACTCTTTCTGTTTCAAGCCCATGCTAAACGTATGTAAGGAACTATGTACCCAATTTCTGGTGGCTCACACCACCCTGGAGCCTATCTGTCATTCTCAGACTTAGACCAGGCACCAAACCCAGCATTCCTTATGTACCTTCCCTGTTACCTGAAGTAACCATGTATTTGATTATTTATTTGTCAGTGTCTCTCTACTAGAACGAAAGCTCCAGGAGGATAGGAATATTTTGTCTCTTTTGTTCCTGCTATATTCCCAGCACCTAGAACTGTTTCTGGCACATGGTAGGGACTTCAAAATCACTTGTTAAATGAAAAAGTCCTGTGATAGAACATCCTGCTATTTTGACAACGATTGGTTAGAAACTAATAAGCTTTATTGTCCAGTCTTTCTGCAGTCTATCAGACCAAGTCAAATTATACCACAGACTCAAAAACAAAAACATAGACTGTATGTATACCTTGAAGGCTCCTTTATGTCTGTATCAATTCCAGCAGTGGGCCTTGGAGGTAATGAGTTTTGCAGGTTGGGGTGGCTAAATACACATCCTCACTAGGGTCCTTTGAAATACATTATCTTCCATTCTGAGAGCTACGTCCTGTTGCTTGGATGACCCAAGGAAAAAATTCCTCTCCTACTTGCTCACCGTCTGCCCATTCTTCCAGCTGCCCCTGCTAACAGTTCCCTTGCAAGGCCTCTCCGGCCAGTACAGCAGCTTCAAGAGGCTTCTCACCTGAAACTGCCGGATCTGGAACGCTGTTCTCTGAGTGACACTGACGTCTGCATCTTCTCTCTCTTCTCCTGCCTTATCTGTGACATCTGGGAATGGAAAACAAACTGTTTTCTTTGATATAAACTCATGCTTTTAGGCCTTTTAATAGCTAAAACATTAGCCAAAAAAAGTCTAAAGGCAAACTTAAATGTATTTCTAAAATTTTGTGATTCCTTAACACTATTACTCCATTTTCCAGTCACTCTTTGCGGCTGAATGTAATCCACTGCGTGCCAATCTCGAATCCACTAGATGTCACTCCTTAGCAACACTAGGATTGTTCTCAAATGTCTTCGTAGGTTAACAAATGGAATTAAGGGCTGAGTTCAGGAGAAACCCAAATCAAGCCAATTTATTGGTACTCCAGTGCTTACCCAGAGCTCTGAGAAACTGCTGAACCTTGGGCTGATAGAACTGCTGCACGGCACTGAATATTTTCTGTAAACCCTCCAAGCACAGCAGTGAGATGCTCTTTCCTTTCTCTTTCTTTCCCGACTCTTCCACTGAAGTAGGAATTGAAGTGTATCTCCAAAGCAAGACCCTGAAGCAGGGGAAAGTGGTTTTGTTTTTAAAGACAAGTTCACTGAGATAAAATTACATAGAGTAAAACTCATACCCTGTAGGTGAACAGTTCTAGAGTTTAAAACAATGTACATGGCTGTGTAATCTCCTCACAGTCAAGATATTTCTATCACTCTGAAAGTTCCCTTGTGCTCAGATAGTCAATTCTCTCCTCCCATTTCCAAGCAACTACAGATCTAACTTCTGTCCCTATGGTTTTACTTTCTACAAAATACGATACAAAAGTGGTTATCATTCAGAATACAGCCTTCCGAGTCTGCCTTTAACACAGCAGACTGTATATTCATGAGGGATATTGCTGTGCAGTTTCTTTGTAATGATCGGGGTCTGGTTACGTAATAGGGTAATGCTGGCCTCATTAATTAAATGAATTGGAATATGTTTTCTCCTCTTTAATTTTCTAGAAGAATTTACACAGAATTCACATTACTTCTCCCTTAAACATGTGGTAGAGTTTACCACTGACTAGATCTAGATCTGAAGTTTTGTGAAAAAAGTTTGAACCACAAATTCAAGTTCTTTGAATAGAAATAAGATTACTCAGGTTGCTTTTTTTTTTTTTTTTTCCAAGATGGAGTCTCACTCTGTCACCCAGGCTGGAGTGCAGTGATCTCAGCTCACTGCAACCTCACACCTCCCAGGTTCAAGTGATCCTCCTGCCTCAGCTTCCCGAGTAGCTGGGACACATATCACCATGCCTGGTTAATTTTTGTATTGTTTTAGTGGAGTCGGGGTTTCACCATGTTGGCCGGGCTGGTCTCAAATTCCTAACCCTCAGGTGATCCACCCACCTTGGCCTCCCAAAGTGCTGGGATTACAGATGTAAGCCACCGCACCCGGCCAGGTTGCCTATTTTTTGTTGAATGAGCTTTCAAGAAACCTATCCATTAAAGTTTATTGGCATAAAACTGTTAGTATTCTATTACCAATTTTTTAGCATCTGTAGGATCAGCAGCGATGTCCCCTCTTCCTCATTTCTGCATCTGTAATGTGTCTTCTCTTTTCCTGATTAGTCTGACTAAAGTCATTACATTTATTGACCTTCTCAAAGAACTACCTTTCTTTTTCTGTTTTCTATTTTAATTTTCTCTTTCCCCATAATTGTGCTTTTGTCTGTTTCCTTCCTTCTGACTACTTTCATGACAATCTGCTCTTTTTTTGTTTTCTTAATGTGGAAGTTTATATGAGAGATTTGAGATTTTTAAATCACTAACTGCTCTAATTTCCTCAACAGTGCTTGGCTGGATCACGTTTTGACATGTGGTCTGTTTCTATTCGGGATATTTTCTAATTTCCCTTAGGACTTTTTGACTATGGGCTATTTAAAAGTGCATTTAATTTCCAATTATATGGGATTATCTAGATATCTTTCTGTTACTGCTTTCTTGTTTAATTCTGTTGTGGTCAGAGAACATAATGATTTCTACTGTTTTAATTTGCTGAGTTTTTATGGCCTAAAATACGGTTCATCTTGGTGAATATACCATGTGCACATGAAAATACTGTCTTTTGAAGCTGCTGTGGAGTGTTCTGCGCGTATTAAATCAAGCTGAGTGACAGTGTTGTTCACATCCTCTGCCTCCTTCCAGGAGATATTCTAGCTACTGTTTCTTTTTTTTTTACTACGGGGAGAGGGTTGATTTTAATTAAGGATTTCTCTATTTTTCCTTCAGTTTCATCAGTTTTTGCTGTAAGTATTTTGAATCACTTAATCATGATGTAATATCCCTTTTTTTCCTCTGATAACAGAATAACATTTCATATGTGACTAACAATCCATATCAAAGCAAGACTAGAAGCCCCAGTGAAGCCAAGAGTTCAAGGCCAGCCTGGGCAACATAACAAACCCCACCTCTTTAAATGGGGAAAAAAATAAAAAATAAAAAAGGCCTCAGTGGCTCAGGCCTGTAATCCCAGCACTTTGGGAGGCTGAGGCAGGCATACGGCTTGAGCCCAGGAGTTCAAGACCAGCCTTGGCAACATGGTGAAATCCCATCTCTACAGAAAATTTTAAAAAAGTAAGGGCTGGGTACAGTAGCTCACACCTGTTATCCCAGCACTTTGGAATGCTGAGGTGGACTGTTCACGAAGTCGGGAGTTTGAGATTAGCCTGTCCAACATGGTAAAACCCTGTCTCTGCTAAATGTAAGTTAAATTAAATTAAAATGTAAAAATTAGTTGGGCATGATGGCATGCACCTGTAGTGCCAGCTTCTCAGGAAGCTGCAGTGGAAGGATTGCTTGAACCTGGGAGGCAAAGGTTGCAGTGAGCTGAGATGGCACCACAGCATTCCAGCCTGGGCAACAGAGCGAGACTCTGTCTCAAAACAACCAAACAAACAAACAACGAAAGGCGGGGGCCAGGGGAAGGCAGGACTAGAAAAAGATCCTATGTCAATTACTGCATTTTCTTTCACTTTTTTTTTTTGAGACAGTCTTTTTTTGTTGTTCTTGTTTTTTTAGATGGAGTTTTGCTCGTTGCCCAGGTTGGAGTGCAGTGGTACGATCTTGGCTCACTGCAACCTCCGCCTCCAGGGTTCGTGATTCTCCTGCCTCAGCCTCCCAAGTAGCTGGGATTAAGGCATGCACCACAATGCACGGCTAATTTTGTATTTTTAGTAGAGATGGGGTTTGGTCAGGCTGGCCTCAAACTTCTGAGCTCAGGTGATCTGTCTGCCTTGGCTTCCCAAAGTGCTGGGATTACAGGCATGAGCAACTGCGCCCAGCCTGATAGAGTCTTGCTCTGTCACCCAGGGTGGAGTGCAGTGGTGGGAACTCAGCTCACGGTAACCTCCACCTCCTGGGTTCAAGCGATTCTCCTGCCTCAGCCTCCCAAGCAGCTGGGATTACAAGCACCTGCCATCACGCCCAGCTAACTTTTTGTATTCTTTCACTCTTAAAATATGTCCAAGTTCAAACTGTATTCCCAACGTGTTCTCTGGAGAAACCATAGCCAAGTGGAATAGGCTTCTAAGGGGTGGGAGTGGCTTACCGAGTTATGTCACAGAGGCTCTGAAAAACCTTGTCTGGGTTTTGGCCATCAGGGCCACTCATATGCCCCGTTTCCTTCAGCTGCTGCACTTTCTGCAGAGCTACATTCACTGCATAGCGCATAAACTCATTGCTGGACCTGAGAACAGAAAGGCTTTCTTGGTGGCTTTGGGTACTATCCCTAGAGAGAGAGAAATAAAAAAGATTCCCTTACTGCTACTGGGATATGGAATTAAGCTTTTGCACACCCAACAGAGCTTGCCAATAAGCTCTGAATGGCAGACTCTCTAGGCAGCCCAGCTACAGTCACGGCTATGGATGCCCTTTCATAATCATTACTCTTAGTTGTTCCTCATTTTCTCCCCCTCCCCAAATCCTTTACTTTGATAAAATGTAAATGTCAGTCTTAGTCTTTTAGGATTTTTTTGTTGTCCCTTTGTATCTTTAATTCGGTCACCCCCTACCTTTTTATTTTTATTTCTTACTTATTTTTTGAGACGGAGTTTTGCTCTTGTTGCCCAGGCTGGAGCGCCATGTCGTGATCTCAGCTCACTGCAACCTCCTCCGCCTCCCGGGTTCAAGCAATTCTCCTGCCTCAGCCTCCCAAGTAGCTGGGATTACAGGCACGTGCTACCATGCCCCACTAATTTTATATCTTTAGTAGAAACAAAGTCTCACCATATTGGTCATGACTGGTCTCAAACTTTTGATGTCAGGTGATCCACCAGCCTTAGTCTCCCAAAGTATTTGGATTACAGGCACGAGCCACCGCGCCTGCCCCCTGCTTTTTAAAATCTGTTGTTTTGTATAAGCTACTTTTATAGATTTTCTTAAAATACCCTGTTGGAATTCATCCCTGTCTTTTATTAGACCACTGTTTCTCATTTTTCCTTTAATGATCCAAGGTACCTATATAAAGTACCTACATAGGATTGTCCAGCTTTCATTTCAAGACAATTAAAACCTCCTGACTTAGTTCTTACTGTAGTCCAAACTAGGTGAAACGAGTGCGCCTAGGCAGGCCTCCTATCCTCAGGGAGCGGCTGTCGTTAAGCACACCAGCGGAACCTACCTGAACAGAGCAGTGAGAAGACTGGACACACATTTCATGGACAAGAAACTATCATTTGTCTTGTTGGCCATTTTTGTTTTGCCTTTACCGGCTTTTTCATTAAGGATGTCAGAGAGTTTCTTGTAACACATAAATAAGCTCAGAATGTTCTCACACTTATTCTTACTGTGAAAAACCAAACAGACAACCAAGGACAAACATCAGAATACTTTGGTTTACTTTTACACATAAGGAAATCACAACGTTTCTATAAATATCATATTTTAGACATAACATTATAAATGAATGGAACTTCATTAATATAGTACTCTTAGGTCACACTCATCTATCTGGGTTTTGTTTCCCCTCCCTTATTTTTTTTATTTTTTGAGAAAGGGCCTCACTCTCTTGCCCAGACTGGAGTGCAGTGGTGTGACCTCAGCTCACCACAACCTCCGCCTCCCAGGCTTGAGCAATTCTCCTGCCTCAGCCTCCCAAGTATCTAGAATTACAGGTCCCTGCCACTACCACCCAGCTAATTTTTATATTATTAGTAGAAAGGGGGTTCACCATGTTGGCCAGGCTGGTCTTGAACTCCTGACCTCAAATGATCCCCCCACCTTGGCATCCCAAAGTGCTGGGATTACAGGCATGAGCCACAGTGCCTGGCCTCCCCTCCCTTATTTATACCAGTCCCTGCAGAGTATGAAAGTCCAATACTACCACCCACCAATCAAAATTTCCATGTTATCATTAGGAGTTCTTGAATTCAGGGTCTGGGAAATTCTGAGGAGGTGAAAGCCTGCTGGAGGCTTTCATTTCCTAGGCCTGGGAAGCATGCACTTGAATGCTCTCTAGTGGAAAGAACACAGTTTAGTCTTAGACTAGGTGTTCATTTAGGAGATAGTGTCACAGTCTGTGGTCTGTTTACTGCCTAGAATATTGCTAGAGTAAAAATATATACATAAAAAGAAGAATTCATCAAATTACAAGTGGAGGTATAGCAATACATTACCTGAAATTACTTATGGAGAAATTATATTCAATTAAAACCTCACAAACTCCCATCACAAGAAAGGCACAGATATTATTTTTTATGCCAATACTGGTGCTCTGAGAAAAATCTGCTGATTTATCCTAAAAGACACAGGATAAAAATTAATAAGCTACTAAAGAACCCCATCATTCAATACGGCTGAGGACTCAGCAATTACCAGTTCAAAGTCTTCTAGCTCACTCTTAATCATTCTATTGGTAATGGACTCCAATATGTCATCTAGGTCTTGGTAGAATCCCTCTTCCTCCTCCTCCTCCTCCTCCTCCTTCTCCTCCTCCTCCTCTTCTCCCTGCTGTAAGGGTATCACTGTATTCTTATACCAGGCCAAACAATGCTGAATACAACAAAGCAGATAATCCTGTAGGAGAAAGTAAGTAAATTAAATACTCGTGAGTGTTGAAGGATAACCTATAAGGTGTTCATAACCCACAAATAATTCGTATCTGTACGGCTAAAGAAAAGAACTCATTAGCATTACAAATTAAGTCCATCTAAATTAACAAAACTGGGAAAATAAATTGAACAGCAGCATCCTTTTCTGATGCTTCCCCCTCAAAATTGGCCTAAGTGGCTGACACCTCAAAATGCAACATTAGATGTGGTGTCTCTGGTCTGAAACAAATAACCCTGGAGCTAGGTGGTGAAGTTAAATCTTCTCTAGTTCATTTGAGTCCCAGAGACTATTCTAAAGATAGAGGTTTATGTTGAGGGAATCTTTAGGAGACCAACACAGCATCTTAGATCTAGGCTGAGGACATGTCATGCCACAGAAGGCACAAAAATGAAGGCAAGATATGGCAACTGAAAGACTTCCTCCTCTTTTTCTGCCATGAGTTCTAAGTTGCTTGGGGTGGGACTTTCCATTTTTATCCTCTTCCCTGTTCTTCTGAGGCTAGATAAGAACAGAAACTCAACCAGGCCTAGCTCCTCTGAAGGTTCGACAGTGCCAGTCCTGGTTCAGCCTAAATCATATACTTCATCTGGACTAATGAGGCAGGTTCCTAGGTTCATCTGTTCCTAGGTGACATCATCATCACTCTCCCCACTCTAGTGTATATTTAGTGACTGTAATCAAAGACTCATAAATGAGATAAGATACTCTCTGGGGGAAGCCTTGATTTAGTAAAGGGCTAACATAGAGATAACTTACCAATAGATCGAAAATTATAATGGTTCAGAAACGGTAAGTAGGGAAGACTTAAAAGTAAACATTCATCGGAAGAACCAGGAAGAGAGTTTCACAGCGAAAGGTATCTTTTTGTGAAGATCAACCTTATCCTTAATGGTAAAAATTATGGTTGAAGGAAGAATAAAAGTCTCACCAGTGGTTCTTGTAGAGAGATCTTATCTCCTTGGGCCAGAATACAAGCTTCTAATTTCAGAGGAGGCAACAGATCAGGTTTTGGCTCATAGAACTGTTTTAACTGTGCATAGTCAGAAAAAAAAAAAGACATCCTGGCTTATAAATGCTTTTTGCTTTTTTAACTTGTCAGGTGAAAGGTATCTTTAATGTCTCATGCCTTCTAAGACACATTTCCCAACTGTTCAAAGGACAATGCAGCCAAGTTTTTATTGCTTTGGCTCACCCATATCCTTTGCTCTTGCTTTGGATATTGTACTGATTAGAATCACCTTCCCTATTCCAATCCCTTCTGTCCCTAAACTTGTACATGTACTCAACATTTTCAGTTAACTTGGAGGTTAAAAATACAGGATCCAGAGTCTCAGACTGGCTGAGTCCAAGAGCCCAGTACCACTACTTATCACAGGTTTTTATAAATGTATCTGTACCTTGGTTCCTCATCTTAAAAATGAGGATATTATTAATATTCATTGTATAAGGATTAAACTTGACAATACATGTAAAATACTTCAAACAGTATTTGGCATATAAGAGAGCTGAAAAAAATTTGATTATTTTTCTCTTTTTAACTTTTGCAGTCTGCAGAATTTTACTAGTCTGCATATTAACCTGAGTCAGAAAGCACTGTTCTAAGCTTTCTATTGAACATAATTTTCTATTTTTGTTAAATGTGTGAATGTAGATGTGTTGTTTACAGTTTGAAAAATACAATGTAACAGAATATAAATTTCATATAGGATCAAGCCCAAGGCCAAATGAAAAGCTTTTGATGGATAGTATGGGACCTTCCAGTAATGTTCACACATCTGAGACTTTAATTACAAATGAAGCGTCATAACTATCACAAAGCAATGGCACTGATAGAGAACAAACAAAATGATAGACTAGGGGTCTAGAGGAGCCTAGAGGAGTCCTCCTGGTAGAGAGTCTCTATATGTATTCTTCTAATCTTGATGGTCTTTTGAAATATTTCATAATTTAAACCTCCTGGTAGAGAGTCTCTATATGAATCCTTCTAATCTTGATGGTCCTTTGAAATATTTCATAATTTAAAAACACGTTAACTGAAAAGTACAGAAAGGAACCTAAAAGACATCCGTGTATCTGTTACCCAGATTTAAGAAATAACATTTTACTATATTTGTTTCAGATTTCTTTTTTCTTTCAGAAATATAATGGATCCAGCTGTTGATAGTTCTTATATAAATGGTTCTTCAAAATGTTCTTCTGACTTAGGATACAGACTGTTGATTCTCAAAGGGATAACTGCTAGATGATGGTATTTCGGCAGACAGGTGAGTGGTAACCGAGATGAGACAACCCAGAATAGCATCACAAACCCCTAGCATGTTCACAAAATACCAGTGTATTAGTTGGAAATTATTTTATATTTTGAAAGGTCTAAAAAACACCAATTGTCTCTCAATCCTTCATTATCTGTTTTCCCTGTATCCATAAAAATATATTTTACCTGTGAGAGGAGAGTTTGCATGATTGAATTAGCCAGCTGAGAGTTCCTTCGAAGAACATCATAAAAACCCTGAGAGGAATCAAAAAGAAGAAATAAGCACTTTAACAGAGATACTAATGATTTGGACTATCACAACTTTAAAACAACACTTCCTTTATCCTATTCTCAGTTCTTCCCTACTGAGACTGTATCTGATGGTCCTAAATGCCCCAACATAAATAACCATATTTTCTTCCCACCCAAAATTTCCTAGTCTTAGTTAAGAACTGCTCAGATTAAAATCCTGGGAAGGCCAGGTGCAGTGGCTCACACGTGTAATCCCAGCACTTTGGGAGGCCAATGCAAGCAGATCACTTGAGGCTAAGAGTTCGATACCAGCCTGGCCAACATAGCAAAACTCTGTCTCTACTAAAAATACAAAAATTAGCCAGGCGTGGTTGCGAATCCCTGTAATCCCAGGTATTCAGGAGGCTGAGGCATGAAGGATGCAGTGAGCTGAGATCACACCAGTATACTCCAGCCTGGGCAACAGAGTGAAACTCTGTCTCCAAAAAAAATTAGTAATCCTGGGGAGATCTTTCTTTCTGGAACCTGGAAAAGAGGTTATAGGTTATAGTTCATCCATGAGTAAAACCAAATGAGACTTGATCAAAAAAATATTTTTGTTTAAAGAAAAGATACAGGCCCAGCATGGTGGCTCACGTCTGTAATCCCAGCACTCTGGGAGGCCAAGGCAGGAGAGTCACCTGAGGTCAGAAGTTCGAGACCAGCCTGGCCAACATGGTGAAATCCCATCTCAACTAAAAATACAAAATTAGCTGGGCGTGGTGGTGCATGGCCGTAATCCCAGCTACTCAAGAGGCTGAGGCAGGAGAATTGCTTGAACCGGGGAGGTAGAGGTTGCAGTGAGCCAAGATTGTGCCACTGGACTCTGGCCTGGCAACAGAGCGAGACTCCATCTCAAAAAAGGAAAAAAGTGCAAATTGAAGCAGCAAAGCATCAGCAGGATGGAGAGGCTGAGGCAAATTATCCAGAAGATACAGCTAACATAATTGATGGAAGTGGCTATGTTAAACAACAGATTTCCAGTGTAGCTGAAACAGCCTTATTCTGGAAGAAAATTTTATACGGAACTTTCTTGGCTAGGGAGAAGAAGTCAATGCCTGGCTTCAAAGGACAGGCTGACTGTCTTGTTAAGGGTTAATGTAGCTGGTGAGTTTACATTGAAGTCAATGCTGATTTACTCTTCCAAAAATCCCAGGACTCTTTAGAATTATGCTACATTTACTCTGCCTGTGCTCTATAAACGAAAGAGCAAAGCCTGCGTGACAGCACATTTGTTTATAGCACAGCTTACTGAGTATTTTAAGCCCACTGTTGAGACCTACTGCTCAGAAAAAAAAAAGATTCCTCTCAAAGTATTACTGCTCATTGATAGTGTACCCAGGCACCTAAGAGCTCTGATGGAAATGTATAGAAAGATGAATATTGTTTTCATGCATGCTAACACAATAACCACTGGGTGAGTTATATGCTACTCACAAGTCAGTATACTGTCATAATTAGTGATTTAATCAGACATTCAGTAAACTGTTGAAAACCCAGTCCAAAAAGAAAAAGAAGTTGCTTTTATAAAAACTAAGTTGGCCGGGTGCGGTGGCTCACGCCTATAATCCCAGCACTTTGGGAGGCCGAGGCGGGTGGATCACAAGGTCAAGAGATCGAGACCATCCTGGTCAAAAAGGTGAAACCCCGTCTCTACTAAAAATACAAAAATTAGCTGGCCATGGTGGTGTGCGCCTGTAGTCCCAGCTACTCGGGAGGCTGAGGCAGGAGAATTGTTTGAACCCAGAAGGCGGAGGTTGTGGTGAGCCGAGATCGTGCCATTGCACTCCAGTCTGGATAACAACAGCGAAACTCCATCTCAAAAAAAAAAAAAAAAAAAAAAAACCTAAATTAACCCAGGCACAGTGGCTCATGCCTGTAATCCCAACTCTCTGGGAGGCCGAGGCAGGCAGATCACTTGAGGCTGGGAGTACGAGACCAACCTGGCCAACATGGTGAAATCTCGTCTCTACTGAACATACAAAAATCAGCTAAGCATGCTGGCACATGCCTGTAATCCAGGCTACTCAAGAGGCTGAGAGGCAGAAGAATTGCTTGAATCCGGGAGATGGAGGAAAGAGGTTGCAGTGAGCCAAGATTGTGCCACTGTACTCCAGCCTGGGCAACAGAGCAAGACTGTCTCAAAGAAAAAAAAACTAAGTTAAATGTTTGGAAAGTCAGTCTCTAAAACCAATTTCTGATAAATGAGGGGTAAGACAATTAGAAAAAGTTAGAGAAAAAAACTGAAGCTAAAAGATTTTTATACTATACTGTATCTGAAGTTGCTTAAAGTTTTTATACCACTTTAGGTAAACAAAAATTTGAAACTATAGGCAGTAAATTAAGGGTACAGGTTTGTATGAGAGACAGGAAGTGAAGTTGTACTGAATAACAAAGCAAAATAAAGGACTTGTGGCAAATTAATAGTACATTTAAATATTTCAAATTAAACTAAAATGTTTAAGGTATATCAACTGTGTTTTATGATTCCTCGCCTTAAAAACCTTAAAAAACTCTGCTGCCTGAGTTGGGGTGCAGTGGTGTGATCACAGCTCACTGCAGCCTGAAACTCCTGGGATCCTCCTGCTTCGGGCTCCTGAGTAGCTGGGACCACAGGCACATGCCACCACACCCAGCAAATGCTTTTTATTTCCTTATTTTTTGTAAAGACAGAGTCTTGCTTGATCCTCCTACCTTGGCCTCACAAGGTGTTGGGATTACAGCCGTGAGCCACTGTGCCCTGCTTTAAACAACTTTTTGACTAAACACCACTAGCTACTGATGCTGACTACATCAAATAAGAGCATATCTACTGTGCTTTTATAATCAGGAAAAAATGTACTAAAATAAAATGAATTATGAGTTGAGGGTTTGCTACATTCCTTCCATTCTACTGACTTACCTCATAAAGCATGAGTCGAACATCAGCTTGCTGGCTTAAGCATCTCCTCAAACTATCCATGATCTCGAGGCAAAAAGTTTCATTGGCGACAGAATTATAATGGCCATGAACATCCACATGAACCTGAAAGGAAGACAGGCCAACTCATGTCTATCTTATGAAAGCAGTTTCCAACAGGAGCTAAATAAGCCTAATTTCTTGGTCAGAAAACTTACACTTGGCTTTCTTCACATGCCAAACCCCAGGATGAGACAGGCAGTATAATCATGACCATGCAGAAGTAAGTGTCACTCTTATTCTGGTTTGGAATAAGAGAATTTCTAAGCATTTCAACAAAATTAACTGTTCCCCATTCCTTAAGGTTTCCTTGACAATACTGTGACATGGTAAAAGCCCCATAAAACTGCATACCTCAACCACATCTCAGCTTTCTGTTGAAACTGCTCTCTATAACCCAAATGTGAATAAGAAATTAAGGACTGCGATCCGCACCCTACCCAGACAATGTGTAAACAAATACTAATCTTGACTTTTGTGAGCCACTTAAGTAACAACCAGAATGTCAAAAAGTCCCCTGGCCCTCGGAATGTCCGGAGCCCCTCACCCTCATCTCCACCCAGAAGGTGATTTGCAGAATCCACTAGCCCTCGGAATGTCTGAAGCCCCTCACCCCCACCCCTGCCCCTCACCCTCACTCCCAAGGTGATTTTTATGGGTATAAAAGGTCTTGACACCCTCCTTTTGGGGCCACGGGTTGGAGAGAGACGCGAGTCCTCCGTGGCCGCCGGCAATAAAGACCCTGCAATTTGGCATACTTTTGTCTTGGTGTTGACTTTCTATGCTTGGGCCAGTACAACAGTATCAATTGCTTAGGAAGGCACACTGCTTATTTCAAGCCATTACAATCTAGTAGTAATAATATACATAATTTTATTAAAAAGGTCTCAGACTTCTTCAAGAACTAGAAGAATCTTGTTCTTCCACAAATTCTAGAAAGGTTTAGAGGAAGACAGTCTTTTGTTTAGAAATGGACATGACAAAGAATTGCCATCCTTTGTGTGAATTACATAATAAAATCAGCAATTATAGACCTAATCCTTACATCAGGCATCACATACTGCCTGAGGCCAAATCCGTTTTCTACCCCTTCTTGGTTAGATAACCTTGGGCAAGTTATTTAACCTGGCTCAGTCTCAGTTTCCCTATTCTTGCTTTTTTTTTTTTTTTGAGACGAAGTTTTGGCTCTTGTTGCCCAGGCTGGAGTGCAAAGGCGTGATCTCAGCTCACAGCAACCTCTGCCTCCTGGGTTCAAGCAATTCTCCTGCCTCAACCTCCCGAGCAGCTGGGACTACAGGCGCCCGCCACCATGCCCAGCTAATTTTTGTATTTTTAGTAGAGATGGGGTTTCACTATATTGGCCAGGCTGGTCTTGAACTCCTGATCTCGTGATCCACCTGCCTCAGCCTCCCAAATTGCTGGGATTACAGGCGTCAGCCACCATGCCTGGCCAGTTTCCCTATTCTTAAAATGGGGATAACAACACACAAATGATACCTAGTGTTCCTACTATTTAATCTGTGTTATATGTTATAGACAAAAGCTTTATATAGCTATACCAAAGCAATAAAGTGAGGATTCCTAGTGAAACTGTTACATATAAATATGTCTCCTATTTATAAATCTTATAGTACATCATTTAAATTATGAAGACTATTTTATTGCTCCAAAGCCTAGATTACCATATTATTATAAAAACGTTTGTTTTCTCGGATTACAAGGTGTAATAGATGTATATGAGCAAAGTAAATAAATTAACATAAGAAAATAGGGACAATAATAGTATCTAGCCTCAGAGGGCGGCTGTGAAGATCAATTGAGATCAACAATGTGCTATCCAAAAGAAATATAATATGAACCCCAAATGCAAGCCACATACATAATTTTGTATTTTCTAGTAGCCACATTAAAAAAGTAAAGAGAAAGAGGTAAAGTCGTTTTAATATTTTCTATAACCCAACACATACAAAATTCTATCTGAAGGTATAATCGATATTAAAAATTATGAGATGTTCACACTCCTTTAAAATCTGGTATGAATTTTGCACACTAGCCACATTTCAGTCAAGCGCTCCGTTCAACAGCCACCTTGAGGATAATGGCCACCATACCGGATAGCACAGTAGAGCAAACAGTAAATCTGCCATTGATAAGTGTTAGCCAATATCATCATCATCACCATCATCATCATCAGACTCTTTAGTTCCAGGATCATTGTTACAGCCATAACAGGAATAAAAGGCAACAGCGTGCATTTATTTTATCAATGGACATGAATGATATGCACACACCATAAGTTAACATAAACAATCCTTACCTGACTGACACTAAGAGACTGACTGCACTGAGAGGATGACAGGCTGCCTAAAACTTTAAAGTTCTTCAGGAGCAGCAAAAACCCAGCAACTGCAGATTTTCGGGCATCAAGCTGGCTGGCTCAGAAACAGAGAAGTTAACAAACAGTACTATTTCACAGTAATATGCTCTGGGTCAGAAAAATCCACTTAGTTCCTTACAGAGAAGGAATATGTACAAACAATGAAGCATAGAGCAAAACAAAGTGAATTTATATACTCAAAATAAGGTCTCAGCTGTTCAAAGGAATTTACAGTACAGAAACTGAACTGACTTTTTTCATTACTTAACTCATGATACTCTACTTCCTTCTATCCTGCTCTCGAGTCTATGTGAGGAGTAAGAATAAGAGTGCTGAGAGACTGTAAAATTGGCTGGTTACTCAAATGTAGGAAATTGCTGATTTTGCGTGTTTGGAGGAGTGCTTCCCTTCACATGCTCTTTTATCACAGAAGAATGTAGTACTTGATGTCATGTAAACGCTCCTTCCAGAAAATGTCACTCATCTCACTGAGGCTCAACGATTAATTCACGTTAAAGATGTGACAACATAATATCGTAGTCTGTTAGCCATGCCTTTGGGTGAGGAGTAACAAAAACTGTTAATTCTAAAACAAACATAATAGCAGATGGCTTAGTTGTTCCTCTGGTCACCCATGAATATATTATAATATGGCTAATGTGATATTAATTGGGCATCTTATCCTCAAAGTACCAAATGCTTTTCACATATTACCGTCTTATATTTTGAGGAGACGGTATTATCATCTCTAGCTTACATACTAAGAAATAAAGGAAGAGATGTCAGGAGCTAACCGGCTACAAATAACTCATTCCTCTCAACAATTAATTTTATCTACTAGCCTCTAGATCACACTTCAGATGTTCACTAAAATGAGATTCTTAAGTATACTCTTCTTGACTAAGATGCTTTTCCCTTTGGAACTGCTGCCAGGTCAGGTTTCAGAGTACTTGGCACTAGAACATTAACCTGAAGATTATTCTAGTGTAGTACAGCAGAGTGTATGACATCACAAGTTCTGATGTTAGACCTGACTTTGAATCCTTGCTCCACCACCAACTACTGTTTTACTTCTGGAAAGTCACTCATCTTCCCCAAGCCCAAATTTCCTTATCTGTAAAATGGGAACTGCAGTACTTCTTACTTCACAGGGTTTTTCTGAAGACCAAATGAAAAAAGCACACAGAGCACTCAGCAACAACGCCTTATTTGATGAAACTGCTCTGCGGGGTTAGGAATCTGCATGACCACTGTGAACAGGTGGTGCTAGGAGATGGCAGCGATAACTTTAGCCCCAGCATTAGAAGGCAACATCTTCCTATGATATAAAAAGATGCTACATACTTGGCAAACATAGCTTTCCGAAGGACAAGTATCAAGGAATCTCTCATTGACATGCTGACTTTGAGAAGGGGCTGAAAAAGAAAGAATCACTGGGTAAAAACAGAACAAGTTTGCTTAGTAGCCTGAGCTCATTTCTACCCAATACTGTTACCATATGGCTTCTATAAGGAAGCGTACTCCTGCTTTATATCCATGTTTTAATGTTTATTACAGTTAACAAGAGCAATAGTATTCTTTGAGACAGTAAAATGAAACTGGCTGTGAATGCCTTTGTAAATCTCTTGTACACAATAATGTTCTAAGAGACTTTGAATTATTTCATTAACTTGAAAATGAGTTGAGAGAATAGTGCTATGGATAGTGAATGGAAAACAGTCTTGCTCAATGCTTTTGCCCTTTTAATACAAATTTTATGTTTCAGACTAAAGGGGAATAGAATTTCTTAGACAATTCCACTACAATTAAACCTTAGTTTCGGCGAGTTACTTGGGAATCTGAAGACTTACCTGCACTGCTTTAAGCAGCCTTTGTACAGTCTGAAGGGGCAGAAAGGACAAATAGTCAAAAGCTTCCGTGACTTTAGAAGAACAACTTTGAAGAACTAAGGGTGCATACATGACGATATTTGAAAGCAGGTCTGAAAAACAGAATCTACAATCAGCTGCCTCAAATAACTGAAGATATTTGAAATTAATGAAAAATACGGAGAAAGAAATGTAAAGTCTTTTGTTTCCTTTCTCAAGTAAGTCAAGTATACTGCAATACAAATTTCTACTGATTTTGTATATACTTTTTCTCCAATGTAACCAGGATAATTTTAGCTTTTTTCTGTGATAGTTTCAATTTTTATAAAAATTAAACTGCCTGAAAGAAAGGAGGAAACCTATTACAATGCCTAGACATAAGTAGTAGCACACATCTTCATATGATATAAACAACGATGAATGATAGAAATTTTAAAAATTGGTGTCTAAGCTAAATAAATCAATATGTATTTCTGAATTTTTACAATGTGCAAGCATAATATGGTCCTATTAGGAACATATAAAGTATCAAACGTCTTTTTTCAAAAATTTTAATACTTTAGTTGGAAGTAAAAAAAATTTTTTTAAAGAATTAAAGAGGTCAATCACAGAGCAATGTCAAATATCTAAAAATTCCAAACATAGTTTATTGCCAACCAAATAGTAAGGAGGGTTTAAATAGGAGTTCAAAGTAAGAGGAGATCATTTTGAGTTGGTATATATTAGGAAAGCAATGAGAAGGAATCTAAACCAGGTTCTAAAAGATGGGGAACATTTAAATGCACAAAGAACCAGAAAGACCAACATGTATAAAGGGAAACTATGAGTAAAGGTATAAGAACGGTAAGTATGAGACGTATTAGGAAGATGGTAGGGAAATCAATGATGCTGGGGTAAAGAATCCAGGCAAGTAAGTAACTGACTTTAATACTGAAAAGGTAGCTTGGGATCAAACTGTCAAAGACCGTCAGTGTCAGGATAAAGGGCTGATAATTTATTAAAGAACATACTGATGATTTTTGAGTAATAAAGTGTTATTTTAGGAATATTAACCTGTGGTAATATGCGGGTTAAATTGCTGCAGGGAGAAGAAAAGGCCAGGAAACCAGTTAGAAAGCTGTGGCAGCTGTCTAAATTCAAGGTTGTAAGAATGAGAACTAGACAGTAAATGTGAGGTTGTGGGGAGGAGGGAATAAAAAGACAAAAAAAATAACAGTATAAGAGGAAAAAAAGACAGAACTTAGGTATTAAGTATGCTTGAGAAAATAAAAGGTAATTCTGGCCTCCAGGACCTGGACAGTCATGCTTCAAATAACAGAAACAGGTGCACTGGAAAGGAAAATTTGTTTGAAGGGAGCTGTATTATATTTGATGTAAAAGAAAAACTGGTCACAGGCAGGAAAAGAAGTAAACTCTTAGAGTAATCAAAGAACTTAAAAAGTTTCAGGGGAGTTATAAACAACGATGAATGATAGAAATTTTAAAAATTGGTGATTAAAGCCAGTATATTTAAGACATCAGGAGTTATATATTAAAAACAGCAAATTCAGGCCAGGCATGGTGGCTCACACCTGTAATCTCAGCATTTTGGGAAGCCAAGGTTGGCGAATCCCCTGAAGCCAAGAGTTCAAGACCAGCCTGGTCAACATGGCGACATCCTGTCTCCATTAATAATACAAAAATTATCTGGGCATGGTGGTGTGCACCTGTAATCCCAGCTACTCGGGAGGCTAAGACATGAGAACTGCCTGAACCCAGGAGGCAGAGGCTGCAGTGAGCTGAGATTGTGCCACTGCACTCTAGCCTGGGCAACAGAGTGAAACTGTTGAAAGAAGAAAACAGACCACCACCACCAACAACAACAACAAAAACTCCAGCAAATTCAGAGGTTACCAGAGAGAAACACTATGCAATCCGAATATCAAGGCTAAAGAGACCAGAAAGTCAACAAGTGGCAGCAGAAGGACAGCACTCATTTGAGAGGTACTAAGAAAAAGAGAGAATGTTGAAGCAAAATGGAAGTTTTACTTATGGGTTAAATGTTGCTTTCCTTACTGACAACTACAGCCTTCTTGACAACTGTCACAGGCAACATGAATGGATTTGCTTTACTGACATCCAATTAAAGATACTGCATTTAAACTCATATTAAAATTTTTTTCCAGGACCAAATAATTATGACATTTAAATGAAAATACTTCTAGGAACTTTATTCACCCTTTCAAAGTTTAATACCTAAGAAATGACTGATGGGAGAAGATGCTCTGGTAACAACCCTGTTGAGGACCTGCTCCAGAATTTCTTGTCTGACCATCTCATGGATCTAAAAAGAACAGAACCAATAAAATACTACTGGGTCAACTTCAGCTTTTAAGTACATCAATCCATGTCAGGCCGGATGAAGAATAGTTTAGATATGGGTAAAACTCAAAAATTCAGAACATAATGTGAATCATCTGGAAAGACAGAATCACTCAACTTTCCCTTTGTTCTGCACTTAGATGAGTCATTAGTAGGGTAAATACCATGTTTATTAGCCTAAAAGTACAGATCATATTAAAGTATTGCTACATAGACGGTTCAGCATCCAACAGGACGAATTCTACCTAGGTATCCATTACATGACAACATCCATATTCCTGACAGTATACATAACTTTTATTCTAAAATTAAAATGTAAAAACCCATGAAAATTTCTAGAAACTTAAAAAATCTTCCCTAACCCCCTTCTCAGTTTCTAGAAGCATAGCAGTTGCCTTTAAAAAGACGCATTCTGAATTTTCACATGAATTTTAATTAAAATTCTTACTTGAACGTGATTACTTTATAGTACAGACTAATTTCTTCCAGGCCTCAGACTGTTAGTGACTTAGTAGTAATTTATGAAGATGCCTTGATAAAGCTGACATCTATGTGAAATCAAATAAAACTTCTTTAGCTTTGAAAAAATAATAATTTAAATATAAATATATACTCTAAGATAATGTCTTTAACCATATCACTGTTAAGCAGGGTCACTTATATCATCGAATACACTTAGAACTCTCAATAACTATTCTAATAATTAGTTCATAGTTCTGGATCAGAACACTAGATTTACAGTGAGATCACTGTAAATAACAGTGATCTCCCAAATAACATTTTTTTTTTAGAGAGAGTCTCACTCTGTCGCCCACTCAGCCTGGAGTGCAGTGGTGCGATCTCAGCTCACTGCAACCTCTGCCTCTTGGGTTCAAGCGATTTTCTTGCCTCCGCCTCCTGAGTTGCTGGGATTATAGGCACATGTCACTCCACAGAACTAATTTTGTATTTTAGTAGAGACGCGGTTTCACCATGTTAATCAAACTGGTCTCAAACTCCTGACCTCAAATGATCCACCTGCCTTGGCCTCCCAAGTGCTGGGATTACAGGCGTGAGCCACTGCACCTGGCCCTAAGTAACATTTTCAGCAGACACTCTTGGTGTGTAGCTGCATTAAACTGAACATCAAGAAGATTTAGAGGAATTACTAGCAGAGTTTTTAAGCTCAGATATGATCTAGCATATTTTTATTCAAAAGAAAATACATTTTTGAAAGCTGTTGCGGAAATTAAGATTGAGGTATCAATCATAATTTGGTAATATTGTCAAAAAGTGTGAATTTCCCATTTTATGTTCTTTAAGAACAATGAACCAATAAGCATGATTTTTTTTTTTTTTTTTTTTTTTTGAGACAGGGTCTCACTTTGTTACCCAAGCTGGAGTGCAGTGGTGCAAACACAGCTCACTGTAGCCTTGACTTCCTGGGCTCAAGTGATCCACTTCAGTCCCCCAAGTAGCTGGGATGGCAGGTGTGTGCCACCATGCCTGACTAATTTTTGTATTTTTTGTAGAGATGAGGTTCTGCCACATTGCTCAGGCTGGTCTCAAACTCCTGAGTTCAAGGCATCTGCCCACCTCAGCCTCCCGAAATGTTGGGATTATAGGCATGAACACCATGCCTGACCAAGAATGATTCTTTTTTTATTTTCAGTAAAAATTCTTAAAAGCATGATTCTTTAGGCTTGATGGTCTATAGTGACCTAAAAATTTTCTTCTGTGTAAAAAAACAGCATTAAAACAAAATAAAACAAAAACCAGAAATGGTTTACTGCTAGAAGAAGAGAAAAATCAAGAAAAAGCTATCTTATATTCAAACTTCTAGGTCAGAAACAATTGTATTAATAGGAATAAATGAAAAACTTACACAAAAGGATAAGAAAGTAAGTATCCATCAAACTGGATCTATGTTTCAATATTACCCTAATCTCTGTCATACATCCTCTGTCAAACTAACACATACTCAAATTTCCTTGTCCACCAAATTCCCAGGCAAACGCCAAGCCCTACTTGGATTATTTAAACAAAATTAGGGAGTGGTTGCCAAAATAGTGTCTCACCTTAAAAGTTTCCAACAGGATATTAGCTCCGAGCTTACACGCATGCTGGTTTGGCATTTTAGAAAGACCCAGGCTGGTTTCAATAGCTTTTCCATCAAGAACCTTCTTTGGCCCATATGAATCCATTAAAAGGAAACCAAGTTCTACCAGGCCCTGAGTAACATGGTCCCAACTATGAACACTGCAAGAAAACAAAGCTTAGTTAAAAAAGAAAAACTTAGTAAGATAGCTTACCTTTACACTCACTGTCCTATTACGCACTTCCCAAACCTGACCTGGGTAACTAACATACTCTGCACATAAACGTTTTCTTTTCACACACCATCTGACAGGATTCTGAATTCCTAAATGTACCATAATGGGAACAGCAGGCAAGTGGTCTCCAGTGACAGACAGAATACTGGGAAAATCTGAAAGCTAGAGAACATTCAAAAACATACAAAAGAAACTAGAATCTTTCAATATGGTAACGCTTAGATATTCCCATTCAAGATTTCATATGAGAAGTTCATTGCTGCCTCTTCTGTTACCCATCAGCAGTAACAACACTTATGTATAGGCTTACAAATGAGCTTGCCTCCATAGGCAGAGATTCTCCAGGATAGAGGTCATAGCATTGTCATATTTTTACCCATATTGCTTAGCACAAGGGTGGCTTATAAAAGAAACTCAGTACATATTCATAGCATAAATGGATGAGTGATCTGGTGTCAACAGCATGAGCTAAAACTACAAATAATCTTCTGTAAAAGAGTAGAATAATTGGTGACTTTATACCACTTAATGTTATATACCCCACGGTGGAAATAATATGCATATAACCTTTATCTATTATATCTATCTGTTAAATTGCAACAAATTATAATACAGCACTACAGAATGAAGTAGATAGTTATGGATAAATTATAACACTTTAACAGAGTTAACAATATTCATACTCTAGAGAGCCAAAAATTCAATTACATAAAATGGAGAATGCATTATTTAAAGGTTCATTAACTGACTGGGGCAAGCATGTGCAACTAACCAGTCAATTATTTCAAAGGTTCTAACAAGGCAATCCAAATCTCTCCCTGCTGAGGTTCGGTCCTACCTGGTGGCAAGTCCCCACTTCAGGCTAATTATACATGGAAATGCTTTCAAGTCCTGTGACAGTTGAGACTTACAGAAGATGGGCAGCTTTCCAGGAATTTCCTGGTTAGTTAGTATTGTTTCTTTAGCCCAAATTGAAGAGACTGGGTTGGGAAAATACTGAAGACACAACTATGAACCTCAGGAAAAAGAATAACCAAATATAAAGATAAAAAGCTTTAAGGCCTATCAATGGGTAAAACATTCAAACAATAAACTCTAATTTCACATTTGTCCTACTGCAAAGCTCATATAAATTCAATCTATTAATAAATAAGAATTCCAGGCCTAGAAGAGACCTACTGTAAATCATGCATAAATTATGAAACTTTAAGATATATTTAATGTACAAAGAAAACATGACATAGTAAAGACTATTACAACAGCTAATGTATATCCTGAAATTAAAATAAAAACCAGGATAGTTACTGATGTTTTTCAAGTGGTTTTAAATGAATTTGTCTAAACTGGCTAAACAATAATCAAATTCCAACCAAAAGCTCCAAATTTCAACAAAGCAAATAAAACTCTTAGTGGTTTTTTTTTTTGGACAATCTCGTTCTGTCTCCCACGCTAGAGTGAAGTGGTGTGATCTCGGCTCCCTGCAACCTCCACCTCCCAAGTTCAACCAATTCTCCTGCCTCAGCCTCCTGAGTAGCTGGGACTGCAGGTGCCCACCATATGCCCAGCTGATTTTTGTATTTTCAGTATAGACAGGGTTTCACCATATTGGCCAAGCTGGTCTTGAACTCCTGACCTTGTGATCTACCGCACCCGGCCTAACTCTTAATGTTTTTTTACTCACTGTAAAAAGAGGCCATGAGCTAGATGCAGTGGCATGCACCTATAGTCCCAGTTACTTGAGAGGCTGAGGCAGGAGGATCAGTTGAGCCCAGAAGATCAAATCCAGACTGAGCAACATAGTGAAAACTTCCTACGTCTTCAAAAAAAAAAAAAAAAAAAAAAAAAAAACAAGAAAGGCCAAGCCAGGAAGAGGGGTGTATGCCTATAGTCCAAGCTACTGAGGTGGGAGGATCACCTGAGGCTGCAGGTTCGAGGCTTTACCATGCTATGATAGAGTCTGTGAATAGTCATTGCACTCCAGTGCAACATAGTGAGACTCCGTTTCCTTTAAAAAAGAAACGGCCAGAACCCGTGGCTCAAGCCTATTATCCCAGCACTTTGGGAAGCCAAGACAGGTGGATTACTCGAGCTTAGATTCAAGACCAGCCTGGGCAACATGGCGAATCTCTGTCTCTACAAAAAAAGCAAAAATTACCTCAGCATGGTGGAGTATGCCTGTAGCTACTTGAGAGGCTGAGGTGGGAGGATTGCTAGAGGCTGGGAGGTCAAGGGTGCAGTGAGCCAAGATTATGGCACTACAACTCCAGCCTGGGTGACAGAATCAGACCCTGTCTCAAAAAAAAAAAAAAAATGGAAAATAGAGAATTATAACATCATGGAATAAACAAAAGCACCTAGTTTTGTATGCTTGCTGCCAAGGTGGCCAAGAAATCAGGTCCTGAGATTCAAGGATATTTCCATGGGGAAAAAGTATGTTCTACCAATTTTAAGAAATTAAACCTTGATGTGTGAAGTCAACAGGCTTCCCTCATAGGCTGGAAGTACGGTGCCACATTAAACACCTTATGAAACAAAACTTTTGAGATATGATTTACCAACGTACCTATTCTTCACCACCTCCAAGATCATGGTTGAAACACAGGCTCTATGAGGAACTAGATTCTGAAGAAATTTTGAGCCTTGGAGGAGCTGAAGATCCTTAAAGCTCTTAACAACCGAAGTCTTTAAAAAATCAAGCACCTTAGGAGTAGTTGGAAAAAAAAAAGAAATAATTAAATGAAGCAAATATTACAGCTCATGCTATCAACTTTAACTCTATAACTGTTTCTTTGAGCTGCCACGCACATATATCCCCATGACAACTATTTTAACTAGATGAAGATGTTACAAAAATTATGATGCTTAGTGGGAACTTAAAGGAGTGGAAGACAAGCCTTACTTAAGCAAAAGGGGGGGAAAAAGGCTAAAAATCAACACAAATATAACCCACAACCTGGAACACATATAAGAAAAAAGGGTCAGTTTCATCCTTGCAACTAACCTATTCCTTTTTTTTTGAGATGGAGTTAGGCTGCTGTTACCCAGACTGGAGTGCAATGGCGCGATCTCGGCTCACCACAACCTCCGCCTCCTGGATTCAGGCAATTCTCCTGCCTCAGCCTCCCGAGTAGCTGGGACTACAGGCATGCACCACCATGCCCAGCTAATTTTTGTATTTTTAGTAGAAACGGGGTTCCACCTCATTGACCAGGATGGTCTCAATCTCTTGACCTCGTGATCCACCCTTCTTGGCCTCCCAAAGTGCTGGGATTATAGATGTCAGCCACCGCGCCTGGCGCAACTAACCTATTCTTGATATGCAGCTCAACTTTCCCTTCCTCCAACTTGGGCTGGGTGATAGCCTTCCACTTCTATTCCTACCTCACCACCTCACTTATCACACAATAGGAAATGGAATAAATCAAAAACCTGTAGAAGTCTTCCATCAGTCCCCAGAGAACAGCAGGGACACACAAGTCTTTTTTTTTTTTTTTTTTTTTTGAGATGGAGTTTCGCTCTTGTTATCCAGGCTGGAGTGCAATGGCGTGATCTCAGCTCACCACAACCTCCGCCTCCTGGGTTCAGGCAATTCTCCTGCCTCAGCCTCCTGAGCAGCTGGGATTACAGGCACGCGCCACCATGCCCAGCTAATTTTTTGTATTTTTAGTAGAGACGGGGTTTCACCATGTTGACCAGGATGGTCTCGATCTCTCGACCTCGTGATCCACCCGCCTCAGCCTCCCAAAGTGCTGGGATTACAGGCTTGAGCCACCGCGCCCGGCCGACACACATGTCTTATAGCAGCTTTACTGCTGGCAGAAAGGGGGCAAAATTGTTTAGGAAAGGATAACAACAAAAACAGACTTCTGTGCTTTTTTATTTTACCAACTACAGAAGGAAACAAAATGGCATTAAAAAAAGTACCTGTTCCTGAAATCTTTGTATTCTTGTCACAGAGAGAAGAAGAGCAATGCTGAAAGGACTTAAGTTATTACTGGAATCTCCTTGCTGTCCTGCCTAAAAGAGAGCAACCAAAGGAAGGCATTACTTACATTTTCTTTTCTTTTTCTTTTTTAAAGACAGGGTCTCACTCTGTTATCTAGGCTGGTATGCAGTGATGCAATCACAGCTCACTGCCGCCTTGATTTCCCAGGCTCAAGAGATCCTCCTGGCTTGACCTTCCAAGTAGCTGGGACTACACCATGCCTGGCTAATTTTTAAATTTTTGGAGAGATGAAGTCTCACTATGCTGCCCAGGTAAGTCTCAAACTCCTGGCCTCAAGTGATCCTCCCACCTTGGTCTCCCGAAGTGCTGGGATTACAGGTATGAACCACCACACCTGGTCCCATTACTTACATCTTAAAAATATAACAGCTTATTTAACAGTAAGTCCCTTGATGAGTGTCATGGCTCATGCCTGTATTCCCACCACTTTGGGAGACTGAAGTAGGTGGATCACTTGAGGTCAGGAGTTGAAGACCAGCCTGTACAACATGGTGAAACCCCGTCTCTACTAAAAATATAAAAATTAGCTGCGAGTGGTGGCAGATGCCTGTAATCCCAGCAACTGGAGATTGAGGCAGAAGAATCACTTGAATCTGGGAGCAAAGATTGCAGTGAGCTGAGATTGCACCAGTGCACAAAAAAAAAAAAAAAAGTCCCTATGACTCAAGGGACATAAAAACAAAATTTTTAATAGTAATACAAAATAAAAATAGGTCCTTAAATGGATTAGAAATCTAAATTTAAGAGTAAAAATTATAATACTTTTAGAAGAAAACATACAGAAAAATTTCAAGAACATGGATTAGGTAAAGATTTTTTAGCTATAATACCAAAAGAAAAGCATACTTTGTATAACAAAAATTGATAAACTGGACCTCACCAAAATTCAAAACTTTTCTGCTTTAAAAGATACCATTAAGAAAATAAAAAGACAAGTCACAGACTAGGAAAAAAAATTTGCTAATTTTATACCTGATAACGTGTCACCATTCATAACAAAGTTATTGAAAAAATAAAAAAGAATTTGTCAGTAAAATATACAAAGAATTTTAATTGAGAAGACAAACAATACACTCAAAAAATGGCCAAAAGATTTGAATAGACAGTTCACCAAAGACGGTATTAGAACAGTTAATGAGCACATGAAAAGATGCTCAATTATCGTCAGTCATTAAGAAAATGCAAAGTTAAACCTCAATGAGGTACTGTTTTATACCCATTAGAATGGATATAATAAAAAAGACAAACAATAATAAATATTGGCTAGGAGACAGAAATAGGAGCCTCACATAGTAATAGTGGGAATGTAAAATGATACTGCTTTGGAAAACAGGCAGTTTCCTAAAAATATAAACATAAATTTCTCAGGCTGGACAGGGTCTTATGCCCGTAATCCCACCACTTTGGGAGGCTAACTCAGGTGGATCACCTGAGGTTAGGAGTTTGAGACAAACCTGGCCAACATGGTGAAAGCCTGTCTCTACTAAAAACACAAGAATTAGCTGTGCATGGTGGCGGGCACTTGTAATCCCAGCTACTCAGGAGGCTGAGGCAGGAGAATCACTTGAATCCAAGGGGCGGAGGCTGCAATGAGCTAAGATCGTGCCACTGCAGTCCAGCCTGGGCGACATGAGCAAAAAACTGTCTCAAAAAAAAAAAAAAAAAATTCTCATATAGGCCAGCAGTTCCACTCCTGGGTATATGTTCAAGAGAAATAAAACATTAAGTCCACACAAAGACTTGCATGTGAATGTCAGTGGCAGCATTACTCATAATAGCCAAACAGTAGAAAAAATTCACATGTCCACCAGCTGTAGACTGCTAAACAAAACTGATATATATATCCACACAATGGAATACTATTCAACAATAAAAAGAAACAAACCCGACATGGTAGCTCACACCTGTAATCACAGCTAGTCAGGAGGCTGAGGCAGGAGGATCAGTTGAGGCCAGGAGTTTGAGAACAGCCTGGACAAAAAAGTGAGACCTCAGTCTCTTAAAAAATTGTTTAAAAATGAGCCAGGCATGATGGTGTGTGCCTATGGTCCTAGCCAGTCAGCAATCTAGAGTGGGAGATCACTTGAGGCCAGGAGTTTGAGGGTACAATAAGCCATGATCATGATATTGCATTCCAGCCTAGGTGACAGAGTGAGGCCATGTGTCCTAAAGCAAACAAAACAAAAATAAACACAAATGAAATACCGATAAATGCTACGAGACAGGTGAACCCTGAAAACATCACACTAAATGAAAGAAGACATACACAAAAGACCACATATCACATAATTCCATTTATACAAAATACCTAGAAGGTAAATCCATAGAGATACAAAGTAGATTAGTGGTTACCTGCAGGTGGGAGTGGCAATGCAGATTATATGGGTGTAAAAGACCTCACACGGTGATAAAAATGTTCTAAAATTGGATTACGGTGACAGTTAGAAACTAGGTAAACTTATGAAAAAAATCACTGGCTTGCATACTTAGAATGGAAGAATTTTATGCTATGTCAATTGTGCCTCAAAAAGTTTAAAAAATACATCTTCAAGGCCTAGAAAAAAATGATATTAATAAAGCAAAAAAACATGTAAAATCAAACATGAATCAAACAGAAAACAAACAAAAACAAAGAACAGAGTGGCTCAAAATATATAAAGCTGATGAAAAGGCAAATAATATAGTTACTATGAACCTGAATAAAAAAAAAGGAGTGAACAGATACAGAGAAGATAAAGAAGCTTTAAAGCCTACTCACAGATTATAGTGTTTAAATATCCTTTCCTACAAAAGGGACCCAGGGCTTTTAAGAGACATGGCTGGCAACAGGATGGGGCAAGGAAAGTACTCTGGTGAGCCTTGGGCAGATCGTGCCACAGCTCACAGACTAATGGGGTCACATCGAAAGGACACATAAGCTGACCTGAAGGATCAAACTGGACAAATTTGGGTAATTTTGTGCTCAAAACAAATAATGACAGTAGTGAATAATGAGTACATTGAATTTAAAAAGGTTCATGAGTGCATAATGATATTCAAAACAACAGGGAAAGGAGAGGCTCTTTTTACAGAAGAATGCCAGCTAATAATGTAGAAAAAAAGATGCAATTAGAATTTTTTAATTAAAATTGGAATTCCTTGGGAACAGATTGTGAGGACAAAAAGGAAAAAAAATGAAATATAAAATTCAAATTCCTGATATAATTACTGATTTAGGCCAAGAATCATCAACTGATGGGAAAACGAAAACCATCTGTGAAATACTGTTAGGAAAAGGATTTTTTTTTTTTTTTTTTTTGAGATGGAGTCCTGTTCTGTCACCAGGCTGGAGTGCAGTGGTGCAATCTCGGCTCACTGCAACCTCTGCCTCCTGGGTTCAAGCGATTCTTCCACGTCAGTCTCCCGACTAGCTGGGACCACAGGCGTGTGCCACCACACCCAGCTAATTTTTTTTTTGTATTTTTAGTAGAGACTGGGTTTCACCATGTTGGCCAGGATGATCTCAATCTCCTGACCTAGTGATCCGCCCACCTCAGCCTCCCAAAGTGCTGAGATTATAAGCGTGAGCCACCACGCCTGTCCAGGAAAAGGGTTTTTAATACCATCTCTAACTATGATCCTATAGAATTCTTTCTAATACAAAGGTATATATATAAATATACATATACATACTGACAGATGACAAAAGCCAATGGTCATTTTCTTAAAAGCAAATGATTTAGCATCACAAATAGTAAGATAGCTAATACTATGTTCGTTCTGATGTAATGCATTGAACTGTGGCTGGCAAACTATATACAGCCTGTTGGTCAAATCCAACCCATCACCTGTTTTTATACAACCCATTAGCTAAGACTGGTTTTTATGGTTTTAAATAATTGGGGGGAAAAAAATCAAAGGAAGGTGGGTTCAGTGGCTCACACCTGTAATCTCAGCACTTTGGAAGGCCAAGGCAGGCAGATCACTTGAGGCCAGGAGTTCAAGACCAGCCTGGCCAACATGGCAAAACCCTGCCTCTACTAAAAATATGAAAATTAGCCAGGTGTGGTGGCATGTGCTTGTAGCCCCAGCTACTAGGGAGGTTGAGGCATGACAATCACTTGAACCCAGGAGGTGGAAGTTGCAGTGAGACAAGATTGGGCCATGGCACTCTAGCTTGGGTGAGAGTAAGACTCTGTCCAAAAAAAAAAAAAATCAAAAGAATAATAATATTCCAGAATATAAAAACTGAATAAAATTCAAATCTCAGTGTCCACAAATAATAACAGCCACACTCATTAATACATTTTGTCTATGGCTGCCTTCTTGCTGCAGTGGGAGAGCTGAGTAGTTGTGATAGAACCTGTGTGGCCTGCAAAGGGTATTAGTATCTGGCCCTTGCAAGAAAATGTAAACAACATCATTTACGAAGTATTCTTGCCAAAAATGTTTAACTTGAACCCAACAGTGAGGAAACAATCAGATCAATCCCAAAATATGGGACATTACACAAGACAAGTGGGCTGATGCTTCAAAAAAATCAGTCCAAAACTAGAAAGTAATAATAACCAAAGGCAATGCATGAAGCCTGATGAGAGCCTGGAGGAGGGGGAAAAAAAAACACAGCTGTAAAAGACATTTTAGAAAGAACTGTGAAAATGTGAATAGGGAATATAAATTAAATAATATTATGGAACTACCGTTAATTTTCCTAGATGTGATGACAGTATTACAATAATATGTCCTTATTCTTAGCATGCTGAAATATCCAGGCATTGAAGTGTTAGGGTTTCTGCATCTTACTGTTAAATGTTCACAAAAAGAATAATGTATGTATGAGGAAAATAGTAAGATAAGGTTAAATGTGGCAAAGTGTCTAATAATTGGTGAATCTAAGTGAAGGGAGCATAGGTGTTCTTCATGCTATATAGTGTTTTATCTCTTCTGAGTTAGAATTTCCAAACTAAAAAGTTGGAGGAACAAATGTATCTGTATACTACTTTTCATTAATATAGTTCAAAACACTTCTGAGTTTTATTTTACTACTTTACAAATATTTCATGATGAATGACTTAGCATCACACAACTCCACATATATGACCAGAAGTAAGCAACATCCTAATTCATAAATGGGAAAGCAGAGGTCATCATTGAAGGTCACATAAGACAGTGACACATCATCTATTTAGGATTAGATTTTGAGTTTCCTGCTGAGTAGTTCTCAGTTTTGTTTTTTTTGTTTTGTTTTGTTTCCATTTTGCATTAGAACATAAGCGTTTTTTAAATGGAACTTTCTGGTTTGCTTAAGAAACCAGAGTTTCTTAACTTAAAAAAAAAAAAAGCGAGTGTGGTAACATCATATATTTTCCACTTTTAAAGTAAAAAAAAAGAGATCCTCTACACCCAGGGTCATTTTACAGTATTTGTTTCCTGTCATTAACTGGCATAAAAGTGACTTAAGTTCAAACATTTTCATTCAAAACAAACCCAGATCACCTTACAAGTTTGTTGCTACCTTTAACTGTTTCAGGAGTTCTCTGCCTAGTTCATAGTCCAATTTGATGGCAAACACAATGTGTAGAATAATGGTACCTTCCACATGACGAAGTTCACCTGATGGCACAGTAACAACATCCAATAGCCTAAAAGATTCAACAGAAAGGTATGAGCTATAAGGTGCGGTGCCTCATGCCTATAATCCCAGCACTTTGGGAGGCTGAGGCGGGCGGATCACTTGATCCCAGGAGTTCAAGACCAGCCTCTACTAAAAATACAAAAAAGTCAGCCCGGTGTGGTGGCACACCTGTAGCCCTAGATACTTGGGAGGCTGAGGTGGGAGGACTGCTTCAGGCCGGAAGGTGGAGGTTGCAGTGAGCCAAGATTGCACCACTGCACTCCAGCCTAGGCAACAGTGCAAACGAAACAACAAAAAAACGTATGAGCTATAGTTTTTGAGTGAGAGACAAGTGCAGGTGACATGATGAATAAGTAGACCAACTCAAGCTAAACTCATATAATCACTGCAGGCAGGTGTTAACTAGAAACTTTACTGCCCCATTCTCTGCTCCTGTATGTATGTATGTATGTATGTATGTATGTATGTATGTATGTATATCTATCTATCTATCTATCTATCTATCTATCGATCTATCTATCTGAGACAGGGTCTCACTCTCATGATCATAGCTCACAGCAGCCTCAACCTTCCAGGCTCAAATGATCCTCCCACTGCAGCCTCCCGAGTAGCTGGAACAATAGGCATGGGCCACCATGCCCAGCTAATTTTTCTATTTTTTGGTAGAGATGGAGTCTCACTATATAGCCCAGCTGGTCTCGAACTCCTGGCCTCAAGTGATTCTCCTGCTTCAGCCTCCCAAAATGTTGGTATTAAAGGCAGGATTCACTATGCTCAGACTCTGCTCCTTTTTACAACAAGATTTCATAAAAGAAATGTCTACAGTCATCATTTTTCTGTTTCTGTTTCACAATCTCTTCCCAGGACAATCCAATTCAATCAGGCTTCTATCCTCTTTCTGCCTTCACCCCCACAATAACATCTGATTATTCCTGCAAGAGTCACATATGACTTCAAGTTGCCAAAAACCAATAAAGTCCCACCTTAATTAGCATCTCAGATCTAACACAATTAACCACTTCTTTCTTAAAACATTTTCTTCTTTCAGTTTCCAGGGCATCATCACTGGCCTCTTCTCAATTTTTTTTTTCTTTTTTTAAAGACAGAGTTTCACTCCCATTGCCCAGGCTGGAGTGCAATGGTGCAATCTTAGCTCACTGCAACCTCTGCCTCCTGAACTCAAGTGATTCTCCTGCCTCAGCCTCCTGAGTAGTTGGGACTACAGGTGTGTGCCACTGCTCCTGGCTATTTTTTGTATTTTTTTGTAGAGATGGAGTTTTACCATGTTGCCCAGGCTGATCTTGAACTATTGAGCTCAAGCAATCTGCCCACCTGGGCCTCCCGAAGTACTTGACCTTAAAATGGTGGAATGCCTCTGAGCTCAGTCTTAGGTTTCTTTTTCTTCACGCTTTCCCTCGATAATCCCATCCAGTCTCTTGGCTTTAGTCCCTTCCAGTCTTATCCCCAGTTAAGACTTCTCCCTACAACTCCAGCTACTCAGGAGGCTGTGGTGGGAGGATCATTTGAGCCTGGAAGGTTGAGGCTGCTGTGAGCTATGATCATTAAGATACCTGCTTAATATCTCCTTATGGGACCCTAATACATATCGCAAACCTAATGTGGTCAAAAGTGAGCTAATTTTTAAAAATGAGCTAATTATTTTCTCCAAAATCTGATTCTCTGTCAGCTTATTCTAATTTAGTATCTAAGACCACCTTCTATGCTGGATATGGCAGCTCGCTCCTGTAATTCCAGCACTTTGGGAGGCTGAGGCAGGAAGATTGCCTGAAGCTAGGAGTTCAAGAGCAGCCTGGGCAACAAAGTGAGACCCTGTCTCTAGAAAAAAAAATGTTAAATTAGCCAGACTTGGGCCAGGTGGAATGGCTCATGCCTGTAATCCCAGCACTTGGGAGGCCTAAGGGGGCAGATCATTTGAGGTCAGGAGTTCGAGACTAGCCTGGCCAACATGGTGAAACCCCATCTCTACTAAAAATACAAAAATTAGCCAGGCATGGTGGCACGCACCTGTAATCCCAGCTACTAGGAAGTCTGAGGCAGGAGGATCACTTGAACCTGGGAGGCAGAGTTTGCAGTGACCTGAGATCATGCCACTACACTCTAGCCTGGGCAACAGAGTGAGATTTCATCTCAAATTAAAAAAAAAAAAATTAGCCAGGCATGGTGGTGGGTGCCCGTAATTCCAGCTCTTTGGGAGGCTGAGGCAGGAGAAGAACTTGAACTTGAGAGGCAGAGGTTGCAGTGAGGTAAGATTACACCACTGTACTCCAGCCTGGGCAACAGAGAGACTTCATCTCAAAAAAATAAATTAGCCAGGCTTGGTTTCACGTGCTTATAGTCCCAGCTACTTGGGAAGCTGAGGCTGTAGGATCACTTGAGCCCAGGAATTGGAGGCTGCAGTGAGATATGATGGTGCCACTGCACCCTAAATGAGCAAGACACCCACCTTTAATCAACTGCTCAAGCCAAACTAAATTCTGTCTCTTGATGTCCATACCCATAAAATAAAGGCAAAATAAGGTTGTAAGGTTTAAAGTGCTTAGAACAGCACCTTACACAGAAAACACTCTACAAATGTTTGCTTAAAAAACAAAAATCCAGCTGGGCATGGTGATTCATGCCTGTAATCCCAGCACTTTGGGAGACCAAGGCAGGCGGATCACAAGGTCAAGAGATCAAGACCATCCTGGCCAACCCTGTCTCTACTAAAAAAATACGAAAAGAATTAGCTGGGCGTGGTAGCATACTCCTGTAGTCCCAGCTACTTGGGAGGCTGAGACAGGAGAATTGCTTGAACCTAGGAGGCAGAGATTGCAGTGAGCCAAGATCACACCACCACACTACTGCTTGGGTGGCAGTACAAGACTCTGCCTCTAAAAAATAAATAAATAAATAAGCCGGGCATGGTGGCACATGCCTGCAATCCCAGGTACTCAGGAGGCTGAGGCAGGAGAATTGCTTGAAACCAGGAGGCGGAGACTGCAGTGAGCTGAGATCATACCATTGCACTCCTGCCTGGGCAACAGAGAGACTCATCTCAAAAAAAGAAAAAGAAAAGAAAAAAAAAGAAATCCTTGGCCAGGCACAGGTATCTGTAATCCCAGCACCCTGAGAGACCAAGGTGGGTGGATCACTTGAGGCCAGGGTTTGAGACCAGACTGGCCAACACTACTACTAAAATTACAAAAATTAGCTGGGCATAGTGGTGTGCACCTGTAGTACCAGATACTCAGGAGGCTAAGGCAGGAGAATCACTTAAACCTGGGAGCTGGAGGATGCAGTGAGCTAAGATCATGCCACTGCATTCCGGCCTGGGTGACAGAGCAATACTCTGTCAAAAACGAAAACCCCCAAATTGCCTTTCTCAGACATGCCACACTTCTGCCTTTGTACTGTTTCCCTACCTGAGTATGTTCTCTGATCTATGTATTACAGATCTTATCATTCAGGCTTCAGTTAAAATAGCACATCTGAGAGAGGTTTTCCCTGACCCAATCTAAAGTAGCTGTACTGTCACTGTTAGATCATCCATTTGAATTACCTGCATAGCACTTTTCACTATAATGTTTCTTATTATTTACTTTCTGTTCTCTTCTCATTAAAATTTAAGCTCTATAAGAGCAAGGACACTGACCGGTTTAGCACTGTAGTCGCAAGTTCCTGGCAGAGAGCTGACACTTAATAAACAGGTTTTAAACTTGCAGCTTATAGGACAATTATTGCTATTTTCCTGGAAAGATGAAAATGAAAGGGCTGAGGAGGTCATGTTATTTTCTTTACTACTGAGAAGCTAGGAGAAGTTTAGAAAAGTTTTGTGCTGAGATGAAGGTGGGGGGGGAAAGAGAAGAAAATGAAGTAGCTAAAATACACAATGAGAAGATGAATCTGTAAAAATGATCTTCATTTCGACACTGTATTACTTACTCATCACCACTCTGATCCTCATTGTGCTGCTTATCTACTGCATTGAAGAAGGCTGTGATTCCTTCCAAAACACTTTTTCTGCCTCCCTGAAAACAATACAAAATTGATAAGGTCTATTAAGAGCAAAATAACCAAGTTGAATTCAAAGTACTATTCAGCTTAAAGAATTCTCCAGTAAAATTTAAATAATCTATGACCTAGAGTCAAACTAAGAATGTGTGGAACACTTTCACGTTGAAAACAAGATTTGAAATATCTCTTACTGTAAGAATATATGGGGCCGATAGTCTAACCTTTCTGAAGTATTTATCCCTTTTACCACCACAAAGAAAATGTGGCAATACAAGAGATAATGTATGTTTTCCTTGGATGAAAAGCACGATCTTTTTACCACTCTCCATGAAATGAAAGCATCTATATTCTGCTATGCTTGTTCTGCTATGTAAGCAAGGGTATGAGTAAGTTCAATGGTCATAACTGGTCATACCATCAGAACTAAGGAGAAACAATTTTCCATTTGTACCTTTGAGGAGAGAACCAGAAGCTGATAGACCAAAGGTGGTATTTCTTGAAGATTCATCTTGGAGAACATGCTCAACGCTTTTTCCACCACAAATTCCACCTCTTCTGCACTCAGAGGGACATCCCTGTAGATCAAAGATTCTAAAGGCTATAGACAGAGTCTAACTGCCTTGCTTTCAGAAATTCAATTCAGGGCTTTACAGTGGTTAAAATTCCATTAAACATATTTTAAGAAATAAAACTTGGGAGCAGAGAAACATAATAGATTATTATAACTGTCCCTTTTGATTTTTCTCTAGTGAAGAACCTTTAAGGGAACCAATAACCTTACCTAAGCAAAGACATCTTAGAAAAAAAAATCATAAGGCCGGGCGCGGTGGCTCAAGCCTGTAATCCCAGCACTTTGGGAGGCTGAGGCTGGTGGATCACGAGGTCAAGAGATCGAGACCATCCTGGTCAACATGGTGAAACCCCGTCTCTACTAAAAATACAAAAAATTAGCTGAGCATGGTGGCACGTGCCTGTAATCTCAGCTACTCACGAGGCTGAGGCAGGAGAACTGCCTGAATCCAGGAGGCGGAGGTTGCGGTGAGCCGAGATCGCACCATTGCACTCCAGCCTGGGTAACAAGAGCGAACCTCCGTCTCAAAAAAAAAAGAAAAAAAATCATAAAGTTATACGTTTTAAATAAATAAGTAAAGCCAAAAAGGAGGCAGGAGTGGGGAGGGAATCTGAAACAGAAAACATAAATAGTAATATTGTTGCAAGCAGGAGAGCATGATGTTTAAGTCTGCTATGGTTTAATTTCTAGCCAGTAAGTCCACAAAGCAGGAAATACAAAGAAAAGGGAAATATGATGCTTACTTGAACATGGAGGTGAGTTGGATTACGTACTGCTGATCCCACCTGGGTGAAGAAAATGACAAGGAAAGCTGATTTCATTTCAACTTTTTTAGATATAGCTTTGTAAAATTAATGAGGACAAAAAAAAAAAACAGGGTCATTTCAAGTTTACTTTTGTAATATTGAGAAACAAGATCAAAGAAATACCATTTAAAACAATAAAACAGGACGGGCGCAGTGGCTCAAGCCTGTAATCCTAGCACTTTGGGAGGCTGAGGCGGGTGGATCACGAGGTCAAGAGATCGAGACCATCCTAGTCAACATGGTGAAATCCCGTCTCTACTAAAAATACAAAAAATTAGCTGGGCATGGTGGCGTGTGCCTGTAATCCCAGCAACTCAGGAGGCTTAGGCAGGAGAATTGCTTGAACCCAGAAGGCGGAGGTTGTGGTGAGCCGAGATCGTGCCATTGCATTCTAGTCTGGGTAACAACAGCAAAACTCCGTCTCAAAAACAAAAAAAAAAAACAACAATGAAACAGCAGATGTTAGCCTATCCAACTCACAAAATCAAAATTCTGATAATACCCAATGTTGGTAAGATTGTGGAAAACAAACACTCTTCAGGTACTGTTTTAGGGAATGTATGACAAGCTGGCAGTACTTATCAACTTTAAAAATGTGCATCATCACATATCTACCCAATTTACTGTTTGAAATATATGCCATATAAATGCTTCTAAAAGGTCATCTAGATATATAAATATGTTCAGGCCAGGTACAGTGGCTTATGCCTATATTTCCAACACTTTGGGAGGCCAAGGTAGGAAGATCACTTGAGGTCAGGAGTTCAAGACCAGCCTGGGAAATAAAGCAAGATTCTCATCTCTACTTAAAATAAATTTTAAAAAAAATACATTCATTGCAACACTCTTTGCAATAGCAAAAAAAAACTGGAAACAAACAAATGATCCAATAATTGTAGATTAGCCAAATAACAGATTACTACAAACCATTAAAAAGAACGATGTAGAGTTGTATATGCTGACATGGACAGTTGTATTAAATAAAAAACGCAAGGTATATTACAACCTGTATTGAATAAACTTGTGTAATTAAAAACAAATATATTGATAAATACATGCTTAAAATGATTTACGTGAGGGATCTTATGTAAGGAACCATAAATGCAATGATCTCTAGTTTAGATAATCTTGGGTATTTCCTTTTGTTCTTTTTAACAAACCCACATACAATCACAGTATTATATAACATAGTAATCTCTTTATTTTGTTAGTTATATGGTAAGAATTTTTCATCTTTAATGTATACGTTTCACTTTTTTTGTTTTTTTTTTTGAGACAAAGTCCTGCTCGTTGCCCAGGCTAGAGTGCAACAGCTGGAGTGCAATGGCGCGATCTCTGCTCACCTCAACCTCCGCCTCCTGGGTTCAAGTGATTCTCCTGCCTCAGCCTCCGGAATAGCTGAGATTACAGGCGCATGCCACCATGCCCAGCTAATTTTTAGTAGAGATGGGGTTTCACCATGTTGGCCAGGTCTCAAACTCCTGACCTCGTGATTCACCCGCCTCGGCCTGCCAAAGAGCTGGGACTACAGATGTGAACCACCACGCCGGCCTACATTTCACTTTTAATAGGTATAAATGTCATGGAGTGGCTCTACCTTAACCTACATAGTTTACATGTGTCTATTACTGTGTGCTTATATTGGTCACAAGTTTCTGCGTTGAACATGTTCATAGTGAGGATTTTCCTGTATGTGCAGGTCATTCTTTATCGCAGATTCCCAGAAATACAAATTACTGGTTAAAGGATGTATCACTTGTATAGTCTACTCTCAAAAAACCAAACAAAAAAAAAAGCAGAAAAGATGCAGTAGCAAGGTGACTTCCCCAGCCTTCACGATCTTAAGACTCCAATAATGCTTAGACTGCAGCATTAAACACACTAAATTGCTGTACTAAGATACACAGTCAAGCAAATAAAACTATATGAACAGAATTAGAGGACAGAATATAGTAAATCGTCTCTTTCTTACTAATTCATTGCAGACTAAATAGTTTTATAGTGTCATATTAAAAAATAATAATAAAGAAGGACTTAAAATCTTCAGACATAAATTCCTGAAAAAAAGTGTTTTTTGGGGCCATTTGTATTCCTAAGAAAGTTCTACATATTAATGAGACTCACCTGCCAGAACACAAGGTGTTAATCAACTGCTTCTTAGATTCTTCCCCACTCAGTACACCTAGAAATGCAAAATAGACCGAGCAATAAATTTGATTATATAAATAGAGAAAAAGCCACTAAAATTGGAAGAAAATTACCTTTTCCATTAGCCAGATTTTCCTTTTTGGTTGCCAGGGCAGTGAGAATGATAGGCAGTAACTCCAAAGATTTTCCATTCACTAGGCTGCCTTCTCTGACAGCACTAATAAACTCATTGGCTATTTCAACCAATAACGGTGCTGGAAAATGGTGAGCCTAGAAGTTCACGGGAGAAAGGAAATCTCAAGCAGAAATCCAATGTTTGATATCTCTTTCTTTCGCTGAAATACATGAATTGACTGAGATCCACCAGAACTGGTCCCGTAAAGGATTTATGGAATCATTCTGTTCTGTCTGGTACGTAGCTCTAATTGTGAAGAGCTTCAAATATTTGAATCCTCTGTCGGTTCCCTAATGTTTTTAGATATGCCAACTCTTCAAAGAGAGGTATGTCCATGGTACCAGAAATGCAATATATACATCTAGACTGATTATAACCCATTCATCTGCCTTTTTTTGAGACAGGGTCTCACTCTGCTTCCCAGGCTGGAGTGTAGTGGCACAATCTCGGCTCACTGCAACCTCTGCCACTTGGCTCAGGCAATCCTCCTGCCTCAGCCTCCCAAGTAGCTGTGACCACAGACATGCACCACCAACCTGGCTAATCTGTTTCTTTCATATTTTTGGTAGAGATGTGGTTTCCATGTTGCTCAGGCTGATCTCAAACTCCTGAGCACAAGTGATCCACCCACTTCAGCCTCGAAAAGTGCTGGGATTACAGATGTGAGCCACTGTGCCCGGCCTGCCCTTTTTTTTTTTTTTGCAACAGCTCTTACTCATAAATAGGAACTATGCTAGGTTGGGCACTTAAGTTTTCCCTCCCTTAATAAATTACAAACCCCCAAAAATCTACCCCCAAATATAAGTTTTAGTTTGCCATCTTACCTCCAGCATCAGCAATCCTACGATTTCAGATGCTGTTTCTTTCTGCAAGTCCCCTGATTCCACCAACTGGATACAGTAAGTGTATATCTTATGTCTCCTAAGTGTTCCAGCTTCCTCAGAGCAGGGGGAACCTGATTGTTTTAAACAGGGGGTATAGAAACAAGGGAAGAAGTCTTACAAGATTGACAAGTAAATAAGAAAATGTAAATGGATTAAACACTAATCTAAAAGCAAAGATGGGCAGAATTTTTTTTTTTTTTTTTTCAGATGGAGTGCAGTGGCACAATCTCGGCTCACTCCAACCTCTAACTCCTGGGTTCAAGAGATTCTCCTGCCTCAGCCTCCTGAGTAGCTGGAATTACAGGCGCCCACCACCATATCCAGCCAATCAATTCTTGTATTTTCAGTAGAGATAGAGTTTCGCCATGTTAGCCAGGCTGGTCTCGAACTCCTGACCTCAGATGATTTGCCGCCCCAGCCTCCCAAGGTGTGGAATTACAGGCGTGAGCCACCACACCCCGCCAGAATTTTTTTAAAATCCTACTACATGTTGTTGAAGGACCACAGGAAATTTTACCCCAAAATATGGCTCCCTAATACAAGTATTCTGAATTAAAAAACCTTAGAGTTCAACAAGCCCTGGAAGAGATGTTCCCTTCTCTATATAAAGATAGGACTGACCCACCAAGGAGAACAATTATTCTGCTTTCCTCCCTGTCATCTCATCAGCCATTATTTGAAAGAAAAATGTACCACACATGAACAGACACTTTTCCAAGATAATGACTATCCCCAACGATCATTTAAATTCCAAAGAGAACTATTTACACGTTAATTTCTGTCCTGACCCAGTCAATCTTCCTAGTCACCATTTATTGCTCCTCAACAGAATTCCTCCTCTCCCTCTCCTATAACCTATTTTGCCAGGATACAAGTCCTCATTCTTTTTATAACTTTAAGATGGTATACGAGCTTCTGGGCCCCATTGAGACAGTGGGCAGTCACACTGCAATTCTCCCGATGCACACAGTGAAATAAATGTGTATGCCTTTTCTCTTACTAACCTGCCCTCTGTGAGTTGATTTTTCCGTGCATCTCTGGGGTGCCAAGGGCCTTGCCCACCAGTGTCTACCAGAGACACAATTTAAATTCAAAGACACAAATAAGTGAAAGATAAAAGGATGTAAAAAGATAATGCCATGTAAACAGTAACCAAAGAACACGTGAATGGCTATACTAATATCAGAAAAAGCAAACTGTGAACACCAAGAGTTCAAGACCAGCCTGAGCAACATAGTGAGACCCCCATCTCTACAAAAATAAAAATAAAAAAATTAGCCAGACATGGTGGTGCATGCCTTAACTCCTAGCTACCTGGGGGGCTGAAGTGGGAGAATTGCTTGAGCCCCAGAGTTCAAGGTTACAGTGAGCAGATTGCACCACTGCACTCCAGTCTGAGGGACAGAGCAAGACTCTGTCTTTAAAAGAAAAAAAAAAAAAAAGACTAAAATTATTATTAAGACAAAGAAGGTAGGATATTTTACAATGATAAAAAGATTAATCCTTCATTAGGACATAATAATTATAAACATATATGCACTCAAAAGAGCTCCAAAATACACTAAAACACTGACAGAATTGAAGGAAAAAACAGACAATTCAACAATAATCATTAGAAACTTCCATGTCTCACTTTTAATCATGAATACAACAGACAGAAGATCAACAACTTCCATTGTTGTTCTCGAAAACTTGAACACACTAGACCTAAAAGACATCTGTAGAACACTCCACCCAACAGCAGCAGAATACTCAGGTGCATATGGAACATTCTCCAGGATAAACCACCTATTAGGCTTTAAAACAATTCTTGATAAATTTAAAAGGACTGTAATCATACCATATATATTCTATTACTGCAGCGAAATGAAAGTAGAAACCAATAACAAAAGGAAATCTGGGAGATTCACAAACGTGGAAATTAAGACAATCTTAACCAACCAATGGATCAAATAACTACAGGGAAATCAGAAGATACCTTGAGATGACCAAAAGCAAAAAACCCAACATGCCAAATGTTACCAGATGCAGCTAAAGTGGTGCATACAAGAAAATTTATTTTTATAAATGCATTATCTTAAAAAAGGAGAATTAAAGCAATGACTGTAAGGTCTTTTAGGCCAACTCACTGCACCATGAACAGCATGGTAACCTCTGTGACCTGCACATATACCCCAGATGAGTTCCTGGGAGAAAATTAACCCCTGTAACAGCTAACTAACTTGGGACATTCTTCTATTGTTTCTTATTCCGGCCTTAATAGACAAGGCCATGGGACTTTGTAACCAACCTTGCTCAACCTCATGACTCCAGACCCTACGACCCCACCTCAGCTTGCAAAAAACTGCCCTGAACTGTAACTTCCACTGCTTATCCCAAACTTAGAAAACTACCTCCTAACCTACCACCCTCTGCTGACTCTTTTTGGACTCAGCCCACCCGTTACCCGGGTGTATAAACAGCCATGTGCTCACACGAAGCCAGTTTGGGGGGCTCTCTTCATTCAGAGTAGGTGTTTTAACAATAACCTAATCTATCATAAGAACCTATAAAACAACAATTAAACTAAACCCAAAGCCAGTAAAAGGAATATAAAGGATAGAGTAGACCTACATAAAATAGAGACCAACAAGGAAAAAAGAGACCTACATAAAATAGAGACCAACAAGAGAAAAGCAAGGAAACCAAGAGTTGGTTCTTTAAAAAAATGAACAAAATTGAAAAATCTTGGCCAGGCGCAGTGGCTCACACTTGTAATCCCAGCACTTAGGGAGGCAGAGGTGGGTGGATCACAAGGTTAGGAGTATGAGACCAGCCTGAACAAAATGGTGAAACCCCATCTCTACTAAAAATACAAAAATTAGCCAGGCGTGGTGGCACACACCCGTAACCTCAGCTACTCAAGAGGTTAAGGCAGGAGAATGCTTGAACCCTGGAGGTGGAGGTTGCAGTGAGCCAAGATCATTCCATTGTACTCCAACCTGGGTGACAAGAGCAAGACTCTGTCTCAAAAAAAAAAGGAAAAAGAAAAATCTTTAGCTAGGCTGACAAAAAAAGGAAAATGACTTAAATTACTAATAACATGAATGAAAGAGGGAAATTGCTACTAACCTTAGAGAAATAAAAAGGAATATAAAAAACAATTATAGAACAATGTATTAGATAATCTATATGAAATGGACAATTCTTTATTTTAGACAGAGTCTTGCTCTGTTGCCTAGACTAGAGGGCAGTGGAACAATCTCGGCTCACTGCAACCTCTGCCTCTTGGGTTCAAGCGATTCTCATGGCTTAGCCTCCGGAGTAGCTGGGACTGCAGGCATGCACCACCACACCTGGCTAATTTTTTGTTATTTCTGGTAGAGACGGGGTTTCACCATGTTAGCCAGGCTGGTCTCAAACTCCTGACCTCAAGTGATCCATCTGCCTCAGCCTCCCAAAGTCCTGAGCTTACAGGTGAACTCCTGGCCTCAAGTGAGCCACCACGCCTGGCCTGAAACAGACAAATTTCTAAAATAACACAAATTATCAAAATCAACTCAAGAAGAAACAAAATTTCAACAGACCAAATAAAGAGATTGAATTAGTAATCAAAACACTTCACACAAAGGAAAGCCCAGATGGCTTCAAGGGTGAATTCACTAAATGTTTAAAAAAGAATTAACACCAATTCGTCACGCTCTTCCAAAAAAACAGAAGACAAGAGAATACTTCCTAACTCATCCTGTGAGGCCAATATTATCCTCAAACCAAAACTAGACAAAGACATAAGAAAACTACAGATCATTAGCCCTTGTGAATACAGATGCACAAAGCCTCAGCAAAATACTAGAATCCAGCATTTAAAAAGGATTACACACCATGCAAAAAAGCAAAACTGAATCCAGCAACATTTAAAAAAGATTATATACCACAACTAAGCAGGATCAGTTTAATGTATGAAAATCAGTGAAATACACCATATAAATAGAATAACAAATAAAGGATAAGTAAATAAATAAAATCAAGAATATACCACATGATCATCTCAGTAGTTGCAGAAAAAGCATCTGAGGCTCCTGGTGCTTATCACTGGTTGTGTTCTTACACTGACTGCCTAGAAAGAGGAGATGGAGTAAATCTACCTCATATACACCTCCACCCAGGCCCTGTGCCTGGTCTGTATTGTAAATGCAGGAGGACACAGAGTTGATGGGGCGGGGGGGACGGGGAAGCATTTCAAAAACCCAATACTCTTTCATGAAAAAACATTGAACAAATGAGGAATCAAAGGGAAGTTCCTCAACCTGACAGAGGGCACCTATGAAAAATTACTGCTAGCCAGGCAAGGTGGCTCACGCCTATAATCCCGGCACTCTGGGAGGCTGAGGTGGGCAGATCATCTGAGGTTAGGAGTCTGAGACCAGCTTGACCAACATGGAGAAAACCCATCTCTACTAAAAATACAAAAAAAATTAGCCAGGCATGGTACTGCATGCCTGTAATCCCAGCTACTCAGGAGGCCGAGGCAGGAGAATTGCTTGAACCTGGGAGGTGGAGGTTGCGGTGAGCCAAGATCCTGCCATTGCACTCTAGCCTGGGCAACAAGAGTTAGACTCCATCCCCCATCAAAAAAAAAAAGAAGAAAGAAAAACTAGAGCTAACATTATACTCAATGGGAAGCTCTCTTCTAAGATCAGGAACAAGACAAGGGTGTCTACTTTCATCCCTTCTATTTGTACTGCTGGTTCCAACCAGGACAAATATGTAATAAAAAGAAAAGTTATCTAGACTGGAAAGGAAGTAAAACTATCCTCTCTTCACAGATGACATTATCTTGTATATAGAAAACCCTAAGGAATCCACAAAAATGAAACAATTAGAGCTACTAAGTACAGAAGGTCGCAGGATATAAGTTCAATATACAAAAATTGCAGTTCTTTGTGCTACCAGTGAACTATTACCAGACCAAATTAAGAAAACAATTTTGTTTCAATAGCGTTAAAAGGAATAAAGTACTTAGGAATCAGTTAACAAAAGAAGCACAAGACCTGTACTCTGAAAAGCATAAAATACTGTAAAACAAAATTAAACAGGACCTAAATAAATGAAAAGACATTACATGTTCATGGAATGTAAAACTTACCTTAAGATAGCAACACTTCCCAAATTCATATATCGATTCAACACAATGCTACCAAAACCCCAGCCTCCTTTTTGCAGAAATCGACAAGCTTATCTTAAAATTTATAAGAAAATATAAAAGACCTATAATAGCCAAAACAATCCCGAAAAATAGAAACAAGTTGGAAGAATTCACTCTTCCTGACTGCAAAACTTAATCCAAAGCTATAGTAATTAAGACTGTGCGGCACTGAAATAAGGAGAGACATACAGATCAAAGGAACAATACCGAAAGCCCAGATATAAACCTTCTCGTTTACCTGCAAATGGTTTTTGATAAGGGTGCCAAATGGGGAAGGAATGAAGTTGGACCCCTACCTCATACCAAATACAAAAACTAACTCAAAATGGATCAAATTACTCTATGTATGAGGTAAATCTATAAAATTTTTACTTTTGCTTTTTTTTTTTGAGACAGTGTCTCACTCTGTTGGTACGGCCTCAAGCTTTCTGGCTCAAGCAATCCTTCCGCTTCAGCCTTCTGAGTAGCTAGGGCCATAAGCCCGTGCCACAATGCCCAGCTAATTTTTTAAATTTTTTGTACAGATGGGGCCTGTTGCCCAGGCTGCTCTCAAACTCCACCTAGGCTCAAGCAATCCTCCCACCTCAGCCTCTCAAAGTGCTAAGATTACAAGCAAGAGCCACTGCACCTGGCCTTATAAAACTTTTAGAAGAAAAGATAGGTATAAATCTTTGCAACGTTGAATTAAGCAATATTTTCTGAGACATGACAGCAAAAGCATAAGCTATAACAAAATGCACAGCCTAGACATCAGCAGTAAAATAAACGAAGTACTGATATATTTCAACATAGAGGAACTTTTGTAACATCATGTTAAATGAAAGAAGTCAGTCACAAAGGACCATATATATAGGACGATTCCACTAAATGAAATGTCCAGAATAGACAAATCCGTAGAGATAAAAAGTAGATTCATGGTTTCTTAGGACTGGAATAAACTAGGTGTTTGAAGAGATGACATCTTAAGAGATGCAAACTTTCTTTTAGGGGTAATGAAATTGTTTTAAAATCAATGTGGTAATGGATACACAACTCTGAATATACTAAAAGCCACAGAATTGCTCTTCCACTTAGTAGTGGACATAGGCAGCTGCTATTGATCTTTCATTATTTCCTTTTCTCTGATATTTCTAGAAAATATTTAGCAAGTTTCCATACAGGTTGACTCAAGCAGTCTTTAAAGTTCTTTCATGAATAGGAAGATGTGTTTTTGTACCCTTGCAGCAGAGATCTAATTAACTTGGGGGAAGAAAAATAAACCAAGTTAACATACCTAATTAAGAGTCCAAAGACACTTTTAATTTTTGCTTTGTACAATTGTATCCTACCAGAATTTATAAGACCACTGTGAGTCACAATCTGCAACAACTAAAACTAGCCCTTGTTCAAGACAGGAAAACAAATATGTCAGCCACTGGGCATGAAGAATGTCTACATAAGGCACCTTAAGATATCCCATTTCATTAAACCCCACAGGTCACTTGCTCCTTGTTAAGCATAGATTACGTATTAAACATTGCTGTTCTCTTCTCCACAATTTTAAAAGCACAAGTAAATCAAAGCAGATTTTATGAAAAGCACATTCTGTCATTACAGGCCCCAAAATCAGCAATACAATCTCAGGTAGCCACTTCAACTCCCTTCAGTAAAATTAAGTCCACTAGTGAGGAAACTGCTGCTATAGTTGATTCTGTGGAATTCTCAAAACATGGAAAATATTCCAGTGGGGCTTCAAACAGTAAGAAATCTATCAAAACTAAACAAATCTACCAAGGAATGCAGGAGATAGATAGAAGTGACATTAATTATTATTACCTTTGAAGATGGCTCTCAGGAGTGCTCCAGCAACTTTTCCTTTCACTGCTTGATTCTGAAGGAGATTAGTCAACTGCAAAGAAAGAAAGAAAAACTATAATTCTCTGGCAACACTCTTAAACCCAATGACCTAAACACTCAATATGAAAAAATACTCTTCTGTCAAGTTCAGATCCTTCAAGGAATACAAACACCATACGTTTTAGATAGAGCAGGATACATCTTAATAAGATCCTGGATTGTCAAGATGGAAATCTATTCATACTCATTCTTTTTTTTTTTTGAGACTGAGTTTCGCTCTTATTGCCCAGGCTAGAGCGCAATGGCACAATCTCAGCTTACTGCAACCTCTGCATTCCAGGTTCATGCCATTCTCCTGCCTCAGCCTCTCAAGTAGCTGGTATTAGAGGCACCTGCCACCACACCCAGCTAATTTTTGTATTTTTAGCAGAGATGGGGTTTCACCACATTGACCAGGCTAGACTCGAACTCCTGACCTCCTAATCCACCCGACTCGGCCTCCCAGTGTTGGGATTACAGGCGTGAGCCACTGCACCCAGCCTGTTCATACTCATTCTATAAAGATTTGTGGAGTACTTAGCATAGTTGGGGACATACTTCAATCCAACTTCTTGAGCATATTATTTTCTTTAGACATGCTATAAAGATGAACAAGACAGACATGGTAATTTGACTTAAAGAGTTTACAATAGAGCAGGAAGGGAAAGAATGACAGAAAAAAAAATCAGAAAAAAAAAATTGTAAAAGAACCAAATAAGAGGCTGACATAGACAGTAAGTGAGGAAAGGAAAGAAACTTCCTCTAGGGTAGTAAGGGGAAGGTTCTCTGAAGTAGGTGACATTTACATAGAGACTTAAGAGGACAAGATTCTCCTGCCTCAGCCTCCTGAATAGCTGGGATTACAGGCATGTGCCACCATGCCCTGCTAATTTTTTGTATTGTTAATAGAGACAGGGTTTCACCACGTTGGTCAGGTCCTGACCTCAGGTGATCCACCTGCCTTGGCCTCCCAAAGTGCCGAGATCACAGGGGTGAGCCACCCCGCCCAGCAACAAGGTGCTAATTATTCAAAGGAGTTAGAGAAGGATATTCTAGACAGAAGTATGATCATGTGCAAAGGCCAAGAAGAAGCAAAGAGCTTGGCATATTTGAGGCCAAATACTTGTTTTAAAAAAAAAAAAGATCAATATAGTTGGAGAAGGGTAAAGAAAAGAGTAGCAGAAGATGAGTTTGAAGAGAAACAGAAAGGACCAGATCATGAAGAATCTTACAGGTCATGGTAGAAAGTTCAGCTTTTGTCTAACTGCAACGGAAGTTACTCAAGAGAAAAGAAGGAAGTGAGATGATAGATTTTTTTTTTTTTAAGATGGAGTTTCACTCTTGTTACCCAGGCTGGAGTGAGTGCAATGGCACGATCTCGGCTCACAGCAACCTCCGCCTCCTGGGTTCAGGCAATTCTCCTGCCTCAGCCTTCTGCGTAGCTGGGATTACAGGCACGCGCCACCATGCCCAGCTAATTTTTGTATTTTTAGTAGAGATGGGGTTTCACCATGTTGACCAGGATGGTCTCGATCTCTTGACCTCGTGATCCACTCGCCTCGGCCTCCAAAAGTGCTGGGTTACAGGCGTGAGACACCGCACCGGCCGAGATGATAGATTTTTAAAACATCATCCTTGCTCCTTGTGTGGAGAATGAGTTATGGGGGTTTGTGAAATGGGGATACCTGTTAGTAGACTGCTACTGTGTTTAAGAGGGAGATGATAGTGACCTAGACCAAAGTAACAGAGGCACAATGAGTTGTGTCCTCCCCACACCCCCAAATTTCATGTGCTGAAGTTCTAACCCCCCGTGGTTCCGAATATGACCTTATTTGGAAATTGGGTTCTTGTAGATGTAATTAACTGAGGTCATTAGAATGGGCCATTCAGTCACTAGTCCAATGACTAATGTCGTTAAAAAAGGGGAACTCTGAGCCAGACGCGGTGGCTCAAGCCTATAATCCCAGCACTTTGGGAGGCTGAGGCGGGTGGATCACAAAGGTCAAGAGACCGAGACCATCCTGGTCAACAAGGTGAAACCCTGTCTCTACAAATACAAAAATTAGCTGGGCATGGTGGTGCGTGCCTGTAGTCCCAGCTACTCGGGAGGCTGAGGCAGGAGAATTGCTTGAACCCAGAAGGCGGAGGTTGCAGTGAGCCGAGATAGTGCCATTGCACTCCAGTCTGGATAACAACAGTGAAACTTCATCTCAAAAAAAAAAGGGGGGAACTCTGGACATAGAACATAAACAGGGAGAATGCCAGGTGAAGATGAAAGCAGAGCTCAGGTGATACAAGCCAAGGAATGTGAAAGGTTTTACCAGCAACCCACCAGAAAGAAGCCAGGCGAGAGACACCGAACAAATTCTCACAGCCCTCAAAAGGAACCAACCCCAACAACACCTTGATCTTGGACTTCTAGTCTCCAGAACTGTGAAACATTTAATTGATGCTATTTAAGCTCTACGCTATTGGTGGTAGTTTGTAGCCCTAGCACACTGATATAGGAGATGAAGAAAAGTAGATAGATCCAAGGTAAATATTTGAGAACTAAGAATAGAAATTCCTCAGTTTGGAAACAAAGTAGGGGTAGTGATGAAGGACAAGAAACTGAGGAAGACTCCCACATTTCTGGCTCAAGCAGCTAGCTGGGTGAATAGTAGCACCATCCATTTATGTGGTGAAAATTTGGGATTAAGGAAGCATCTAAATTACCCTGAGAGCTTACTAAAACAAATTTCTGGGCTCTACCCACACTTTATGATTCAGGTCTGCTGTGGGGCTCAGAACCACTACTCTGAGATATCCAAGTGGAAGTGCCAAGTACCTGACAATGAATACCAAGTAGCCGGGCGCGGTGGCTCAAGCCTGTAATCCCAGCACTTTGGGAGGCCAAGGTGGGTGGATCACGAGGTCAAGAGATCGAGACCATCCTGGTCAACATGGTGAAACCCCGTCTCTACTAAATATATAAAAAAAAAAAAATTAGCTGGGCATGGTGGCGTGTGCCTGTAATCCCAGCTACTCGGGAGGCTGAGGCAGGAGAATTGCCTGAACCCAGAAGGCGGAGGTTGCGGTGAGCCGAGATCGCGCCATTGCCCTCCAGCCTGGGTAACAAGAGCGAAACTCTGTCTCAAAAAAAAAAAAGAAATATGCCAAGTGGAGCATCAATGGAAACAGATGGGACCATCCAGGAAAGAATACAAAGTGAAGAGAACACCAACAGTCAATTACTAAAAAGAGAATCAGCTGCCAGCAAAGTCAATGGAGAAAGTGAGATCGGTAACACTGGAGGGTAATCTAGAAAGAGAAGTATCACAGAAGCCAGGACTAATAAAACAATAAACTTTATCTCTTCCACAAGTACATGAGTCTGGTGTTTCTAGCTGGAGTCCATGTCTCCATTACATATATAATAAAGAAGCATCTGACTACTCTTGCCTATACATTCCAACAGAGTACTTGGTCCTTGATATAACCCTTAGAGCAGCAGTTCTCAACCAGTGGTGACTTTTGTCCCCCAGGGGACACTGGGCAATGTCTAGAAGCATTTCTGGTTGTCACAACGGGAAGGGTGCTGCTGGAATCTAGTGGTAAGAGATGCAAGCAAACATTCTGCAGTGCACTGGACAGCCCACCACAAGCCAAAGCGTGAGCACTGCCAAGGCTGAGAAGCCGTCGTTGACTCTTTTTGAAACAGTTCAGTTTCAACAGAAAGCAGCGTGGCATAGGAGGGGGGTAAAAAAGCTGAATCCAGAATCAGAAGCCCTGGATGTAAATTCTAGCTATGCCATTTACTAGCTATATAACTCAGGCAAGTAATTCAATCTGTTATGTGTGTCCATTTCCCCACCTCGAAGGACTGAGATACCTCGCAGAAGAACTTGCAGGGGGACTAACACACAACACGTATTCAACGAATGTTAATGTTCCTCTATCACCGCCGTCCTCTACTCTGTCTTCCTTCTTCCACTTACGTGATCTTCAGTCTTCCTTTTCACCATGCTCAGCTATGCTTTTTACTACATTTTAAAACTTAGAGCAAGTAAGATTAATTATCCCTGTTATCTCAGAAGGCTTCAAAATTTTTAACTGGCAGACAAACTACCAAGTTAACAGCACAATCCAAATAAATTTCGATTTTTTAAAAAAACAAAACATTCCTCATTTTGTGTTGTGTGATGTTTCCTTGTGCCTAGATTGAGTTTATGCAGTCTTGCCACAACACAGGTGATATCGTGTCATTCTCTGAGTATCACGTCAGAAAGCACATGATGTCCATCTGTCCCTCGTTGGTGATAATTCTGACCTCACTTTATAATTACTTTTCCTCCTTCCCTTTGCCACCAGTAAGAAATTTGTAGGGAGACACTTTAAGACCATGCAAATATTTTGTTGCTCATTAATATTCTCCATGTAAAATGGAAAAGCCCAGCAGAAACCACTGTCACCAGGTTATCGAAGTCAGTATCACCAGGAATGACACTGACATCAAGATCTCAGTGATTCGATACACTAAAAAGGACATGGCACCATTTCTGTGGCTCTTATGCCAGGGATACATGACCTTGGTCCAATCATGAGACAATTCCAAACAGCCCTAACTGAGACACATGCAGCAAAACAACTGATCAATATTCTTCAGGGCTATGATGATCAACAGAGAACAAGGAAAGACTATTGCAGATTGCAGGAAATCAGGGGGAAATGACAACTAAGGGAGCAGTGTAGGACGCTGGAACGTAAAGAGAACATTAGTGAAATAATTACTGGGGAGAGTTGGACTAAGATTCTTAGCTTCATTCATTGTATCTTACCAATGTTTTTAAATTCCTCCTGGATTTAGCATCCGTTGGTATCTCTTGCCTGGTTCAATTTTTACCATGATGGTTGCAAAGTAATGATTTTCCAATTCCTGCATTGTAAGCAAGAGAATTCCTTTCTACCCATGTATTCATTTACTTACCTTATTTACTTAGAGAAAGAGTCTTCTTTGCAGCCCTGGCTAGACTA